CTTTGAGACTCCCCCTGGATCTGTAAGTGGATTGGGAATATTGTGACTGAGGAGACGAAGTCTTCTCCCGACTGTGGGTGCTGCGGCTTTGAGGTGTCATGGGGCGCGCAGGATTAGGGTAACGAAGTCGATTGTGGGTAGGCATCTGCCGTGGATCCCTTGTCTCGTATCCTCGACGTATCGGTTGGAGGTGGTGGTATTTGTCGGCCTCGCGGCGCGAATGTTTGGTGTCTATCTCTGGACCAAAGACCTCGTCGTCTGATGACGGAAGCGGAGACTCTGGGCGAGATTCAGGGCGAATTTGTTGGTATGTTTCTGGGAAACTCTCATGTCGAAGGCTGCTCCCTGAGCTGTCGCTCCGGGATAAGGTCGAACCTCGGTAGGGCCTCGGTAGAGGATGCGGCTCCATGTTCCTCATCAGTGGCGGAATAGCCACATTAGGCGCGGTGTAGTTGCGTTGGCTAACCTTTTGCCCAGGAGGCGGAGGAGGTGGGTGCTGAGGTGGAACTGATGGGAGTGATGCAGTGGGCGGAGGCGATGGCAGACCAAATGGAATGTTGTTTCGACTGACTTGGGAATTGATCTGAAGCCCCTTCAGAACAGCACGTTTGCCATTGGATTTTATAGGGACAGGATGTCCTAGAACAGGGGAGTCGGCCAAAGGCTGCCCGTCTGAGGCCTCTTCATCACATTGACTTGAAGGGCTTTCGGGAAGCTCTTGCATTCGAGGGATGCGCACGCTTGACACACGTCCTCTCGGAGTGCAATGTTCCGGGGTTGGCTGGTAGTGTTCCGAAAGCGAAGTGGTGATCAAGCCTTCCTCCTCTTCGGTCGTTGACCCTCCAGCATCGACGCTGCCAAGGGCGATTACCGGGCGCGAATCAAAGGTACAAGGACTGTCCACAGCGGATTCAATCTCGCGGTCTTCAACAAGTGTTGTCGACGGGGAATTCAGACTGGGAGACATTGTCTCAGAATCAATCGCTCGACTAGACCGAGCGTTACCGTCTTGAGTAATCGGCGGGCAGTTAGCTTTGGGCAGTGATGGCAGAGGCCTTGTAGGTGCTGGGAGAGGAAATGCCTTCAATGTGCCCAGACACAATGAGAGCGGTCGAACTTTGGTCTCATCTTGCGACGTAGAATTCTCTGGTACTTTTTCTGTAGATAGTGCCGCTGCAGAAGAGCTCCCGGAAGGCGCAAGGGCACCTGAGCATTTTGGTTCTGACTCACTAACAGCAGCATCTATAAGACCACCCGATGGCTTTTTTGCTTCATCTGAAGCTTCGGGTACGTTGTCAGAAGGTCCAGTCTGTGAGCTGGATGCCGGAGATGCGGGCAATACTGTGGTATTTTCGATCGTTTGATACCGAGGGATTGAAGAATTTCTCCATGCACCCTTGCTAGATTTGCGAGGAGGGGCAACATCAGGAAAAAGTTTCAAGGTAGGTGACAAGGGTTTCACATTGCGAACAGGATATTGTTCTGGCTGGGTTCGCTTTCGGTTATCAATGGACGACCTGGGCTGTGACTCTATCCCATTCACACCCGCGGGTGTATTGGTAGTGACTTGGAAGACAGGGTCGACACGGATACTCGGCTCTGCAGAGCTAGATGGCCGTTGGATTTGCTCATCAATTGACCCATTCCTATAGGAATGACTGGTAGAAGCTAACGAGGAAGCTGGTCGGGTGATATTTTGAGGGCTGAGGTCTGCCATAGAACTTGACGCCGGGATAGCTGGAGGGGATTGGGAGGTGGAGTGATCAGTTGGCTGATACGGCGGCGGCGTAGAGTCGTCGAAATCGGAAGTGAGTGAGACCACCATTGAGCCAAAGTCATCAAGATTCAGAGAGCCCAAGCGACGTCGTGTTTGACTTGTTCGTATGTCGGTATCGACTTTGGCTTGCAGCCATGGCTGTCCAATGGTTTCCACATCTTTCTTAGATTTGGAAAGAGATCGAGAGAGAGACTGTGATAGGCTCTCCTTTGATCGCTTTGCCTCCTTTTGTCCCTTCGACTCCTTTGGTAAAGCCGTCGCTGGAATAAGATATCCTCCCCTTGTTAGTGCTTCGATCTGGCGCTGTTGGTCTTCTTCCTTTGACCTGGGGGATGATTCTTTCTTTTGGCGTTGGGCAAACTGCAAGAGGCGACGACGAAATGGCTTCAGATCCTGCTTTGGATCTGGTTTTGGTTCAGGCTTGGATTCCTTGGGCGAAATAGGAATCGGGAGTGCAGTGGTTGTATCGGAAGGACTCGAGGGTTGAGGTTGAGAGGGAGCGCGAGAGCGTGATTGAGGTTGAGATGGAGATTGAGATGGAGGCGGGGTCTGAGAAGGCATATTTTGGGTCTGCAAGAATCGAACCATGTCCACTAGGCTTTCATTTCTACCAGCTCTTTCAGCGGTACCTGCTGATCGGGCTTCTGGTCGTGGAGCACTCCCGCCTCGAGGTCTAGGGGTGACCAGAGGCTTGGGTGGTGGCCCGGTCTTTGTGGACGTCATATTGGGGAGCCTGCGTTTCGAGGGAGGATCGGGTCGATAAGTCCGAACAATTGGGCTTGGTGCGACGGCGTAGGCATGCAGTGAATCAGATTGATGCATAGGGAGACGGAGCATCAACTACTGGCTGGCTTTGCAATCCGACAGTTCCCGGATGTCGACATAAAAATATGCAGGGTGTTCAACGGGCAAAGCAATAGACAATGCTATACTTCCCAAGTTAGAAGACGAACCGAGGCACTGGCTCGGGAGCAAGACATGCTCACCTGCTTAGGAGGTTCAACACGATAGGGGGCTTGAGTGGTTATATGGACACGCGAGGAATATGATACGTCGACACAAGCTGACACCACTATGTATATACAGGGGGTGTCGATATGTACAAAGTCGATCAGAGTTGGTAAGGTGGCGTCCTTTATGTGAGAATCAAAAGCGAACAAAAGTCGAAACTGCGAGACGGAAATAGAGAGAGTTTAATAGGATCCCAGGTGAGCTGTAGTATCCTTACTTGGAGGGGATCCTTGAACTAGGGCACAGGAGTAGTCTGGGCACCCCTCCCTCCCTCTCGGAACCTGGAAAGGCACAGATAAACAGGTTGAGGCTAAAACGGTAGTACGAATCCGAAGGATAGGTCCTGCAGATAATGAAAATGGGTTCATCCAAAGGGATTCGTCCAAGTAAGGTCCTGTGGAGAACCTTTCACTTTAGACAACTCTAGCCGTCAAACACGCTGTGGCACTTGCGATGTATAGTTTGGGATCGGGAAGACAATATGACACAGCGCTATGCCAAACTCACTAATGCAGCTGCATGTTGCCGTCTGGGATTCGGTCCTTTTATTTTCATTGTGTTTATTGTGGCAGGGACAATGCTGGCCAACCACAGACCAGTCCTCAATGGAACTGTTCTTCTTTAATTGGCTTTTCTCCTTCTTCTTCTTCCCCTTGGATATGAATGTAAGGGGCCCCCGGGGGAAGAGAAAAAAACGTCAGGCCGCCCTGTACTCCGTATTCCGTTCTCCACATCAGATGTGAGGTATCAAATCCAGAATATGTCAAGCCAAACACTTCACTTAGCGTCATATTCCCGGATAAAGCAAGAGCTCAGATCGGACCTTTGCAGATTCAAGATTTTAGGGATCCTCTCAGACGGGTAGAGACAGTCGATCATGGTCGATCTTTGGGCAAAAGTACATGTAGATCGGGGAAATGAGAGAGGGGTGAGATAGCTCACACCCAATTCTTGAACTATTGGAAATAAATAGGGTGATAGTCAATAACATAATGTACTGATTTTAAAATCATTTAAATGATTTGAATAATGTATTAATATACAATAACCATGGTCAATATGCACCTAAGCACATAGGCACAGTACAAATCATCGGTGGATCTCCATGGACTTAATATAACGATTGATCTATACCATTTCAACCTGATTAAATCAAGAGAAAGTCTTAGGGCAAACTTTAGATGTGAGACAGTACTCCATACAGAGTAGAAGAGATAGAATTCTGAAATGAATCATAAATTGAACTTTCAACTTTCAACTTTCATCATTATCCCTTACCTCGAACCCCCACACATTACCTACATAGGGTAGTACTTTGTACACTATAACTAACCCTCTCTATGATCTTCCTGCATTAATCTCCGAAAAAAAAACGCTCCCCCAATTTCCCGAATCCTTAAAAATATAAATACAAACATAAAAATAAAAAGAGAAGTGCCGGACCCACGCTACAAGACATGTCAAGTCTTTTCCCCTCTTTGTTTCAAATGTGTAAAAAGATATCCACTTCCAAGAATACAGAGCAAAGGTAAGCGAATAAGAGACAGACCAAGGTATTGCGCACATACATAGAACAGCAAACATGTTCATTCCGAGTCTTTTTACTTTTAGCCTTTGGGCTGGAAATGGGAATTAACTCGGAGTACTATGTTGTACATGTACAACATTCTAAATGGGTTGTAGCCTGTCCAAGAATATATATATCTACAAATTTAAATTTGGATGGTTTGACACATAGAAGTCCATTTCTCTATTCCCAGGAGATTTCTAAGAAATGTTTTTTTTTTTGCGATAATTGTAGACTATTTGCTGGTGATTTACTGGCTTACAGGGATTAATGACTAAAATCAATGTTCTATGAAAAGATATATGAGGCTCCAGCTTAAGGCCTAACCTCAAAACCTTGGTATTGTATATATCTTGCTTTTACCTGCAAGGGCGCAAAGCCAACGACCACCCCGGTCGAAGGGGCGCACCGACGGCTCTATTCGGCGGTGGTTGCAGTTGTCGCAGGGCGAGACCGCCTCTGTAAAGATAGACGCCGTGGTATTGATGTCCGAGCTGGCTTTCATCGGATGCGTGCTCCACTGGTGGCTTTATAGGTAAAAAAAAGAAAAAAGCCCAGAAAAAAAGCTCTAGCCCCCAGCCTAGGTCACGGTACCATTCTATTGGATGGTTTTTGGTTTTGCTCATTAACCTTGGCTGAACCAATTCATGGGCCCGGTCCGTACGCAATCGCTTCTTTCAACACCTTGCTCACACCGGATGATGCACGGCCCAATTCGCCACCTTCTTCTCTGGCGCTCTTGATTCCACGCTCGATTGCTGGCTGGAAACGAGTCGAAAACACGCGGTACCTGTCCTCACGCGTTTCGTACATTTCCCCTTCCTCGTCGCGCGGCTTCCCAAACAGATTCAAATATGCAAATGGGGTAGATGAGTCCGAGATCATGTGCTGAGCAGTCTGGCAAAGTGGGAACGGCCAGTCGACACTCTCGTCATCATCACCAGACATCTCACTATCGACACCGCCGGTAGAAGGTTTCCCGATCCCAGCATCCAAAAACATCGCCAGAGCCCCAAGCGTTTTAACCATGGGCTTACCCTGGCTACCGGACTTCCCAAATGAAGCTCGGCTTGAGGACCACTGCGATGATTCTTCGGTGTGCCAGCCCAACACAGACAAGAAGCAGTTGAGTGTTTTGATCCATCCTCCCGCGCAGGAAACTGTTGATTCCCCCGCTGCCTCGACCATCCATGATAAAATCTCCACAGCAGAGCTACGGATGTCCGCTGCAAGATGGGTCATTCCTGCACGAACGTAGGGAAGGAGTTGCGCCACATGGTCTTCGACATCGCCAGCTGGCAGGGTCCGCAAGAGCTTAAGAAGCTGAGTCCGTACGCTGGTGGTTCCATCGAGGATGAGCGGCAGCAGAGATGGTAGAATAACGCTCACTGGTTGTGGCAGAGGCGAGTTTACTGGTCGAGATGATATCGTGGTAGTCAGATAAGCGAGCGAGTCGCGTCGTTGGCTGTCGGATTTGGCGGAGAGGAGAGATAGGTTATGCGTGAATGTGGCATTTGAAGTTGGGGCGGAAAGGTGGAGAGATTGTTGTGTGAGGACAATTGCTAGTAATTGTGAGCATAACAGCACGTCAAGCAGCCTGGAAAAATGCACATACACTTCGATTTGAAACTCGTATCGGTGTAGTTGTCGGGCTTCGCTTTGGTTTTCCCAACCTTGAGTTTAGGTTTCTGCAGAGGTCAGTAGGTTGGACAGAAGGAATGCAGGTTGGAAGTTCTAACCTGGAAGTCCTTTTGCTTCTCCTTCTTTCTTTTAGAGCTGGACCCCATGGCTGTGCAAAGTCAATTGATTGTTGAAGATGGATGGCTGTCGGCGATTCTTTTTTTGCTCTGATTATCACACGTGATTTATCAGTTGATGCCTAAGGCATAATGACTTCCCAAACGGGAAGTATATCGTGATATAATGTTTATTTTTTAGTACAATATTGTAGGTTTTTGCAATCTATTAAGAGCTACCTATGTTCTATGACACCATTATTATAAATTCGATGTAGGCTTTAGACTGTCTCCAAGTATATCTAGTTCAACGATGCGAATCCGCCACAAGATTCAGAAAACTGGCCATGGCTAGAAGTAGTCCACCCTAATATGATAAGGAGATAGCTATTATTGGGCATTTACCAGGGTTTGATAAATAATTTGTCAGAATAAACGGATAGGAGAAGGAATGGTGCAATCAACTTTCCTAATGGATGTATAAACATCTCACATGAAATCCCATTCTATACAACAACCTTCTGTAATCAGCTTCCTAGAGGGAATCAGCTCCCACCTTAATACTCTGATTAGCTATACCAGAATATAGAACAATTACCACAATGAGCAACTAACCACGATTCCCTCCTCCAAGGGCCTTAGCCACCGTCTCCTGCGCCGACTGCAGCAAAGACTTATCCCTCTCCAGCCCATAATCCCGCTCTTCTCTGGGACCGCCCTGGCCGAATTGCCAGATATTATCGGGTGTATCTGACGAGCGACGAGAGGTCGCCTTCATATCTCCTGCAGAACGCAATCAGTCTATTTAGCTGGTACTCAAAGCACGGGGTTCGACTCCAGATCGGACGTCATTCGACATAACTAGAGACAAAACCCATGCGCTGCTACCGCCAGATATACGAACCGGGTTGGAGCTGTTCAGCTATCTTCTCGCGTGCGTGACTGGCGGACTCATGGACACGGCCAGTGACCCTATCTGTGGTGTTCGTTTTGGTAGTGAATGGTTCGGAGGCTCCTGCTATGTGTGAGTTGGATTCTGCAGGGCCGACGGACATCCACTGGATGGCTACTCACCATCTGTGTTAGACATGTTGCCCTATTGAAAAGAATCAGCTTTGCCATTTCAATGTGTTAATGTGTTGATATTGACTGAAAGAGGTTCCATACTGCCTTTCCAGCTATATTGATATTAGCTTTATTGCTTGTTTGATTGCTTGCTTAATACACTGCGATATGACTTGGATTTGTATGTGTTATTTATTTCGAGAAAGCTCAAGAAGTAGTACCGCCTGACTATTCGTCGACATGACGTGGATTGTTTCCCCGGCTTAATGTCCGGGGTTGAAGCCAGTTGTGAGGTCATTCTTCGCTCAGCCTGTAGTTGATGGAAAGGAAATAGCACTTAGGGCTCAATTACACCCGAACGTGATAAGCTCAACGTCGGAAGGAAATGAATTGGAGAAAATCATGATCATATTGAGGTCTAAAAGTAATCACGCAAGGATAACATGATCCATAAATCAAAGCCTGCTCAGCAGCGCAAGAAGCTCAAGAATAAATGAGTAAAATAATATCAGAAAAAAAGAAGAAAAAGAGAAAACAAAGACGGAGAGAGATGCGCACTTCTGCCCGGCTCCGAGCTGCGAGACAACAAAGGAAACAAAAAAAGCAAATATATATAAAAAAAAAAAACATAATAAGCAGCTCGGGTCCCGGACAGACGCGGTTGTATCAATCAAATCAACAAAAAATCAAAAAAGAAAAAGCACACGTGACATAGTAATGAGGAAAGACATGAGAGTAATAAAGGAGCCACGACCGCCTGGGACATAAGTCGTGTAATACGTGAGATTATAGTGGTTGTTAGGCCCCGTCACACATCGGCAAAACTCGGCAAAAGAAAAGGACCATGGGGTAGAAGTTAACTACAGACTCATGGTCAGCCACTCCCATTCCTGACTGGCACCCTGCCCACCGGCGATACTGTGGTTCGCTGGGTTTGCGGCTGCGGGTGGTGCCATCGCCGGAGCTAATGGTACGACCTTGGACCGACTGGCGGGAGCAGCTGACTTAGGGTTGTCGTCTGCGTCAGGGTCGGATCCAGTGGGTGCCTTTTCGAGTCTGCGCTGCCGCCTGGGTGCCACTTGCACACCAGCACGAGCCTGGGCGACGCCAGCTGGGGGACCGGACTTGGGTGGGGCAGCAGCAATTGGCACAACACCGGGTTTCCCCAATGTGCTGGATCCATTGATTGAGGGTGGTGACTCAGAAGTGTTCATGCGGGACGAAATCGATGTAGATGGGGCATGTTGGATGGAGTTTTTGCGGGAAGATTTCTTTGATGACCGGGAAGTGCCAACAGCAAGGGTGTTGGCGCTGCTACGGTTTCGTTTTTTGATCACATCAGTCTTGAGCGAAAGTGGTCGGACAACGCCATGGAGTTTCAGGAACAGGCCGCATGCATTGCATAAAGGCTGGCCCTCTGGATTGCGCCTCCACAGAGGAGTGGTCTGGGTGAAACAGTTGGTACAGGTGGTCGGTCCCGCGTTCGGGTCACCGTTTTTCGACCCACCAGGGCTGCCTGGTCGGGACGGTACTGCACTGCTGAGACCGGACTCTGGGGGCGTGCTTGGCGAGGGGTGGTTTGTCGGAGGCCCGCTGGCTGATCCATTCAAGCTCTGGCGGAGCAGCGCAGCAGCATTGGGGGTCGATGCTGTGCGAGGAACCTTCCCGTAGCGACGAGGATCCTGGTTTTGGTTGCGAACCTCGCTGACCGAAGCGGCGGATCCGTGCGCGCGGCCAAGTGTGGCCCCCTGATTCCATTCAGATGAGCCATCCATCATGTCTGTGGATCCTATCGTAACATGTTTGCGGTGCTGAGCACTGAAACCTGGGAGCGACTGTATTGATCCGGGGAAACCTCCGTCCCAATGAAGACCGGCGCTCATCTCACCAGACTCATCCAGAGAGGCAAAGTCATTTGGCATGGTAATGCCTCCGCGTTCACCGAAGTTGCCATCTTCATCCTCATTATCTGAATCACCACCAAAGGTAAACATGCTGCTGGCAGGCGCCGTTGTGGAAAACTCGCCGTGCCCAAGCACCTGTGAGGGGTTGATATGCTGCGGTTGTGGCACCGAAAATCCTGACACATGAGTGGTTGGTGGCCCTGTAACTGCGTTCCCTGAGTGAGATTCGCCGTTGGACATGTTGTACATGTAACGTGGCTGTAGCGATGCGGACAGGTTCGACTGACGCTGTTGGAGATAATTAGGAATGCGGCGTTGGGTGTGTGATTCAGCGGAGGGCGCATCAGAAAAGAATATCGACTGCTCCCCTTCATAAATCGGTTGCGGGGTCGACACAGTAGACTGGTAGCCAGAAGGCGGGGGCGAGAAGAACTCGGTTGAGTTAAGCGACGAGGCGAGCGGCGTCTGGGCATATAAACTTGAGAAAGGATTTCCTGCAGTCATTGGAGAATCTGACGGCGAAAAATGGAAATTTTGCTGATAAGGCCCGGCGGAATTGATCCCGTGGTCTTCGCTGATGCCATATGTATCCAACCCATATGGAATGTTAGAGTGCGTGTGGTGGTGCTGAGGTCTGCGGGGGCCTACCGTGCCATTGCCGGAGAGAGCAAAGGCAGAAGGTGTATGATCGAGCGAGTAATCTGGCAGTGCCGCTGACAGTTCCGAGTGCTGCGCCATCATAGCGTTGGACACCGGGGGAACCTGGGGCGAGGCATCGGCAGGCCGCTTCCGGGTTGGAACAGACAGACCATTGAAGAACTGCCGCTCGTCGACGCTCGTTTTGCGAACCCGACGGGCGACATATCCAAACTCGGAGTTTGTTCGCTGATCCTGGGGCGGGTGGGGGAATGAGGCGGCGGTGGACGAATCCATCATGGCACGGTCCTTGCGCGATTTAATAGGAATTGATCCAGTCGGCGTTGCTGTAAAGTGTCGATCGACAGGAGGATGCTCGGAGTGCTCGGCGGGCGAATCAAAGGGAACGATGAAGTCATCCAGATTCATTGGATCTGAAGTGGTATCAAGGTTCATATCGTGCGAAAAATCGGGACCACTAGGTACTTCGTCGGACAAGCGCATCTGCGCGATGCCGCTCGGTGTCGGGCTTAGAGTTTCCGAGGCACTGTTCGCACATCAGTAAATCAGCTAGGCGCTTTGGGATTCGCTGGTGTTTCTTACCGAGCCTGCTGCTCCCGTTCCTTGCGCTTGAGATTCATGGCCATCATTCGCCATGTCAAATTCTCCATGCGCTCTTGGTTGGGCAACTGCGACTTTGTCCTGGTATAGAGTTTCCAAATCTGAGCAGCCAGCGGATCTTTCCTTTGCATCTCATCAGGGCTGTCGCCACGCGATGCACCGTTCGTCCATTCGGGAAAGATGGAGTTGCCGAGGACGCCATCATTGGCGTTAGAGGAACCAGAGGGACTGAATGGAGTGTCAAAGGAGAAGTCGTCGGACATCATATGAGAATCGGCGTCGAAGTCGGGGAAGGCCATAGGCCGGGAAGGCCGGGCTGCTCCATGCCCTCCATGATGTATCCCCTCCATAATCTCCTATGGAGAGAGGTTCGATGAGAAGGGAGAGGTTATTCAAATAAAGGCGACCGCGGCGGGGGGAGGGGATGGACGGTACGGCCAAAAAAAAAGGTGGGTTGAATTGAAATTCCCCCGTACCCGCCGTAAACGAGACCCTTGCCGGAAGTTGATGATCGAATGCAGCCAAGCGAGCGACGATTGGCAGGATTCAGCCAACGACCAGGGTCTGTCAAGGCGAAACACCTATTAGCACGGAACGGATCTTATGATAATAATATATGATAATAAGATAATTAAGCTGACGACTGGGATGAGACGAACACACGATGGATCTGGAGACCACCACCCAGCCTCGACGCCTCTTTGGGATTTCCTGATGAGTCGTGGAGGGGGGCTAGACCCTCCAGACGCTCATGCCCCGAGAAGATCTATCTTTTGAAGGAAGAGAAAATCCTCCCGAGTATGACAAAAGGAAAGATGAGAATAAAAGTGGCAGAGAAGAAAGAAGAAAAGATGGAAGATGGGGAGGAGAGAAGGGAAATTGTGTGGGAAAGACGGGGAGAAGGCAGTTTTGGTTTACTGCCGACCAATGACAATAACCAAGTATAAGTTAGAATCAAAGACGTACTCCGTACGGAATTGTAGATATAATGTAGTAGATATTGTAGATATTGTAGATATTTCAAAAAAAAAAAAAAAAGAACAAAAATTAACCAAGAAGATATGGGAAGGAATAATAATAATATGTGATATCTAAAGAGGTAAAGAAGGCCCAGAGGATGACACTGAACAAGGTGTGTAATTTATATGTAAACTAACGTACCAGTATTACGCTTGTCACTGGGTAATCAGCGATTTACGGCGCTTCGCTCGATTCCCAAAGATTTCGATGTGCCACTCCGTCTGCTTTAAAGCCGATTACTTCTTTTTTTTTTTTTCTCTTTTTCTCTATCTTGCTTTCTGCATATTACATCTGTAGACTATTTGGACTTGTTTTTTTTTTGCAGATCTCCCACTAAACAAAGTCGTTTCAGGAGTCAGAATACTTCGGTATTATCGGATCTAGAAGGTCATCCTTTCTTTCTCTGCATACTCGCACGGCCCCGATGTTGTTTTCTTTCTTTTGTTTAAAAAATATCATATCGTTGGACATTGGTATTGTTTTTTCGAGTATAGATATGACCGGCATCTCAACTAATCATCGGCCCGAGTCGTTGCAAGCTCCGTACTAAAGTTGAAACTAATGTACCTTGCCCGCTCCTATAAGTCGGGACCGGTCTAAACGCAGGTACTATCAATTCCTATGGCTAATTGGAAACAGTCGCACAAGCTTGAAGACAGGACATGGCACCTCCCATGAACATCAAGTTCCTTAGCGTCCCCGGAGAGAGTCCAGATGCAGACTAAGTGGGTACTGTTCGTTATTGGTGGAGTACATCTCCCGGTCCAGTGAGAGAGGTCTCGTGGGATCAAAGCCAACAAAGGCATCCGTCTTGTCTTGGGATATCAATCGCCTATACTCTTGAGGTGTTTCAGATCAATGAGGGCGACTCTTCGCAGGCTAACCGTGAGGAATTTGCACGAGAAAATGCACCATCAGATGTATCAATATTGAAATTTATAGTCCTATGCTCTTAGCGCAGCGGGGCGGAATGATAGTAAACCGAGCAACGGATGGGTCCTCCAAAGATAAGAAATGTTCTATGGGTCTTCTTTTTTACTTTCCTTTCTTGAATAGGAAAAAAGAGGAAATTGCTGTTTTTTTTTGTTTTTTTTTCACAGCGTAAGTAGATACTATTATATCTCACATATATTCAAAAATATGCGATGATATAGAATATAGAACCAGCAATAAATATCATCTCACTACGATCATAGCAATGGAGTGAAGACTCACCGAGAGGCTCAGAAAGAGATCCCTATATTACCCGATAACGGTATCACCAGTGTATGGAGAAGATATACAGGACGGCCTGTCACGGAATTTCCCCGATATTCATCCCCAAAACGAGGTAAAGTACCAAGTAGGAAAAAAAAAAAAAAGGCATCTGCCACCTTCGCGGGGATCCTGAGGTGGACTTCCGTACCGGTTAATATCCCTGCTCTTCTTCGTTTTTCTTTTCAGAAGTTTCCCACTGCGGCACTAAGGCGGGGTTAAGGAACAACTCCGGTCATTTCTCATGAATTTCAAGATCCCAAGATCCCGTGTCGTTTTGATATCAATTGTCTCCGGGAGCCTGGTTGACTCGTGTGGGGACGGGGACACGGATCGGGATACGGAGCAGGCACGCGAGGCATCAACGAACAAGGGTGACCCAATGACATCCTGGCAGTAATCAGCTCCAAGATGGCAGTTCTGGAGACTTGTTTTTCTTTTTTCTTTTCTTTTGTTTTTGGCCCCACGACCCCACTGCAAGTCGGGGAATCCGAGATAAGAAGTGCTGATAGGAATGTAATTGGAATGTAATTAACCATGGTCATCCTAACAGAGTGCAGATCGGTGGAACTTCGGACCTTATCTCTTTGTTAGCATAAAGTAACTCTGTACTCTGTACTCCGTACACCTAAAAAGTCATGTGTTGTCTAATCCAATTGTCAAATCCATTTTGGATCAGGGATATGAGTGGGGGAAATCATTGTCTCAGGCACCCGAGTAAACCCGACTATGTCGCGGGGGAAAAGAGCACTGGGCATTTATTGTCATCGAGGCACAGAGGTGGGCCGTGGCGTCTGCACATTCAGCCCATAACGCCAATCTGACTGGTACTTTGGTCATGGTCTTCGTAGTGAGGGGTTGGAGGGTGGTTTTTTTTTCTCTGTGCGGTTCTTGCGGTACGCGAGAAAATCTTTATAGAAGGTCGAGGCATTTGACTGATTCCATATGAAGAAGCATCTGCCTATGGTGCGAAGAGCGTGGAGACAGGAGACCGACACTGCGCATATGTAACAACACCAAATATTGATTCCCTCCTGGGTGAAACAAGTCGACATAGGTGACGTGACATATTTGACATATTTGACATATTCGACATATTTGATCGAGTTGACCGAGTTGACCACCGAAGTGAAGCCGAAGTCAAAAGGGAGACACCAGGGACAATGCACTATATATACGTCGCACTCAAACAGCCGAAGAAAATTGACGCCTTGCCGTGTGATTATTCACCAAGCCGTCTCGATAAGACGTGACGCTACCTAAGGGGCCAAAACAATGTGCTCACTGGTATCGCAACCAACAGGGGGAATCCTAGGTATCTCCAAAGGAAATTCAACCTGCAGAAAGAGAGATAAGACCCCTGCTTGACACAATGATGTGTTATCATTGGATCTATCACCCACACCGCCATCATACTACAACTCTACTATCTCCAGATTTCAACCCCAGAGTTTCACTATCCATCGGATCTCCGGGGGATCCTCCAATGCGGATCCTAAGGCGTCAATTGCTATGCTGTAAATGGAGAATGGACCCTTATCTCCTATGTCTTCTAGGGCCCTTTGTCTGTGAGATAAAGATGACGATATCTCTGATGTGACTGATCTTCCAGATTTCTGATTGCGTCTCACACAGATATGGGAATGACCAGATTATTGGTGCAATCTGAGATATCAACGCTGACGCGATGCCATTAGTTGATGACGCAACAGAAAATCAAAGATTACAATCTCCGTGGAGGAAACAGAATGTCAGAATGCTCTTGTTTATCTTGCCAATCTCTTCTTCATTCTATCTTCAAGCAAGGGTCCTATCAACTCGGGGTCGAAAGATCGTTGATGTACAAATCACTGCTGGCTATTTGTTATCAGAATTTCTCGCGGATTTCTATCTCCTTATTATCTATCTGCCTGTATGTGTCAAGGAGTCTGTTATCACGAACTCAGACAGCCTCGATTCCAGAGTCAATTGTCATTCACGTTCATGTACGGAGTATCCAGGGGCATAAATTGTCCTCACAGCCCCAGTGCTTTTCACAGGTATCGAGTGTTTAATTGGCTTCTCTTGACTAACGAATAGCTTTACTCGACTTTTGTATGGGTTTCAAGTTCGGGAACAGGAAGGATTCCGTTGTTCATTGCTTTGCATGTGAGCTATTATGCACCACTTATTCTCAGCTCTGCCTCGGCTCTGCCACAACTATTCGATGCAAGCAAGAAAATACCATTCTTCGTACGGAGTACTCCGTTCTACCATTGCGTGGCCTACAATTAGCCTTTGGCAAAGCAAGGGTGCACCGTACATGTACAGTTCTGTAAGCAGGAAACGGGAAACTCATCATATTTATCGTTAGGGCTCTTGTAGTACATTGAGGATAGACAAATAAGAACTCCGGCGAGAAAGCCAAGATATTCTAAAAATAATATATAGACATGCAATGCAGGCGTTGTGAAATATGTACAAATGAAGTATTTCCAGCACAAATTAGGCATATGCTTTGGAGAAGGCCCAGAGAAGATAAGATCGTAGCCCAGGAGCAGAAGAATAGAACAAGGTGGTCGAGATCACTCCAGCTTATGATTGCAATATGATATGGCAACCCTTCAATCGGTATTCTATCTTGGTCGTTGAGCTGGTCCATATCTTTCTCGCATGTGGGAGTTTCATCTTCCCGATGACACAGAAGCGGCGAGAATGAGAAGGGTATCATGTATTGACGAAATAACACATAAATTTTCGATGAGAATAAAGGGGAATGAGAAAAAGAAAAGTCTATAAGGGTGACCCAAAGAAAAGCTCCAACATATGAGGTGAAATGACACTTCAATCCAGACAACCACCAACCAGAAAAGAGTCTCCACGCATGAACAACCGGAGGGGAAATGCCACCGAATGAGATGGAGAAAAACACGCAAAAACAGACCGAGTTTGAAAAGAACCCGAAGATATGGAGGGGGAAATGAAGAGACAAGAAACAATGGGAAAGAAAAGCCACCCGAAAACCCTTGCGCCCGCTAATGACCAGCTGCAAAGCAGACCCGCCACGGTATATGAGGATGAGGTGAAAATATGGAAGATGAAATGCGAATTGGGGGTAAAAGGTATGTGTATGTCCCTCGGGGTATTAGAAATGAAACAGGCCGTCTAGGAATGTGATGTGCAACGTGATAAAAAAAACTCGGACTCGAAGAAATGCGAAAAAAAAAGAAAGGGTAAGCGTGGCAGAGGTAGAATATGGCGAAGAAATGAAAAGAAAAGAGTTTCATGGGTTCGGTGACCGTGAGGTGCCTCCGGGGTGTCCCATCGAAGCAGGATTAGGCGGGTATACATGTTGTGGAACTGCGTCGGCGGGGTACATAGGATATGGCACCACGCCCATTCCGGACATGGCATTCATATCCTGCCATTGCGGGTAGTTCATTCCTGGTGGGTATGAGACAGAGCCTGGTGTATGCATCTCAGGCGTATCTGGCGAGCCTTGCGGGGCCATGGCACTCGTGGCAGACAGGGATTGTGCGGGTGTGGTCATTCTCCGTTTGAGCTCCGTGGGCATTTGTGGGTGAAAATGATTAGGGTATGATGAGCCCATTTCTTGTCCAGGGTAGCTCATGGTTCGTGGTGGTGGTGGCGGCGGGACCTGCCAAACTGTTCCGTCTGGTTGCATGGCGTATGCCGTCTGGCCCAGAGGTTGCGATGGGCCTCCCATTGAAGATGCTGCAGATATCGGCGAAGGGGGTGGTAGGCCTGAGTGTATGCTCCCAGGATTCCATAAGTTGGGAGACATATTCATCATCTGACCCTTTCCGGCTGCCATCGTATTCAACAGCTGTGGGTCCGCCATTGTAAATTCGTCCCACGCGACCCCGGTATCAATCGGTTGATGTCCAGCAAAGTCTCCTGGTCCCATGGGTGGGTCTAGTTCACATCAATCAGTCAGCAAATGTGGTCTGGATTACAATGCAGAGACGATTGTCTAGACCTACCTGGAGTTATGCTCATGTTGGTTTGAACCATTCCGACGTTGTAAGTTGAAATGTCCTGCGCGGACGAGGTGCTCATTGGCATAGCCTGATATGGGTAGAAGGTCTCGGCGGGGTCGGCCATCAAATTAGTCGGAGAGGAAGCAATTGGTGTGGTGTTTGAGCGCTCGGTTGATGGTGTCTCCAATCTCGAATTTGGTCGTGATTTCTTTTCAATCGGTGGTTGCTGGTCCACTGGAAAAAACTGACAGTCCTTTCGCAATCGAATGCAGTTTTCACATCGTCCTTCCGTATCATCTGGCGCTACGAGACATCGGATCTTTCGTCGTCGGCAGTGCACTGTAAAGGTATGAGTAACATGGTCACATGCGAATACCCCATTCTCGAAAGGAGAGTTTGTCTTTTTTTCCTCCTAGTCGACACACTTCGCACTGCGAGAACGACGGACCAAGAAATGCGACAAGCAAAAAAGGGCGATGAGTGCTTGGGATGTATTACTGACCGCATGCGACAGATGTTCGATGATATCCTAACTTATTGCGCTTCTTGTCATTTGCGTCCATGGCGCTTTGTGAATTTGCTGTTGATGCCATATGGTCGACAGCTATGGGCATAGCTCCCAGGAGAGCACAGGTTTGTCACGATATCGGTCGAAGGTGCATCAAAGGCCCTGGCGAAGCGAAAGGCGTGCTTGGTGAAGCAGGTGGGTGAGAGTACCTCGAGGCGTGATCAAAGGCGAATGCGATGGGAATCCGCGCAAGGCCATACAGACACCGCAGAGAGAATATGACTGAGGGGTACCTCCAGAGAATGACACTGCTTCAATTCCGAGTTCTGGTCCACATGCGCGCCACACTGGACCAGGTATGATATTGCGCGCGTTTCAGAGCGAGGATGTTGGGAGTATGTTAGGGCCCGCCGTGTGTCTCAAAGTATAGAGGTAATGTAGCAATAGAATGGTCGAGGATAGATTGGATTCCAGATTTAGAGTCTCCAAATTCCCAAGTCCAGTAATTGCGAATTAATCGATGATAATTATAGTAAAGTGTTCGTGGAATGCCGGGGATTTGGACGGGGGTTAGGGCCTAGAAGTTTATTGTGGCCCAGTTTGAGATCGAGGAAGAAACCACACTAGGGGTACAAGTCAAACGATAATAACCAAAAAGAGATTAGTAAGAAAAGGAAGAAGGTAAAAAAAAAAAAAGAAAAGAAAAATAGGCTATTCAAAGGAGCGAATATGAAGTGAACGGTGTGAAGAGAAGAAGAGCAGATCGAAGATGGTAGGTATAGTCCTACAGGTAGAAGCTAATCGCGGGGTGAAACGCCCAAAGGTCTTTTGTTTTTTTGTTTTTTAAATTTTTTTTTGGAGAAGTTTTTTTTTTTTGGAGGTTTTTGATTTAATTTAATTTTCACAAGTATGTATATCACGCCGTACGTGGAACAAGGTGGCTCTCATACCAACTAAGACTAACACGGATGTATCAAACTTAGCCCAAATCAACTGCAGGTCATTGTCAATGGATGATCAGTTCAGGGGTCCGCGGACAACTTCCCTTAATGCTCTAGATCTACTACGTAGCGCATCGTGGACTTTACTGGCACTTGGATGGAGTGTGCTTCTTGTTTTCTACAAGGTTTTCCCTTTTTTTCCTCGTCATCTCTTTTTTTGGTCTATAATATATGTAATTCCCTCTTTTTTAGAAATCCTGTCATTGTCACATTGGCCCTCGGTTGATTAGGTAATTTGCCCATGCCCCTGATTGCGTACGTATAGACCCGGTTCTTCAAATGAGGCAGAAACGAGGAACCATGGTCTGGGAGCCCTGACAACAGTGGGGATGTGTGGATGTTGGAGGGTGGCCGCTTGAAGTACACAATACTAGTTAGGTTTAGGGCCTACAAGGATAACTGTCAATCATCGATGAACTGGGGAATATTTCCTTCAAGTCCCAAATAAGTGATTGGTGACGCGAGCTTAGGTTGGGGACCCAGAACCAATAGGCTTGTTGATTTGAGGGTCCATCAAGAAGAACCTTCTACCTCTGGTCATTTTAAAGGTTGATCCCTATAAGCTAGAGGGCTTCTCGAAGGAGAGCTGTGCAGCTCGATCTAAGGGATATTGACCACATGGTTTTCTGGAAGACTAGAAATTCTACTACATACCCGACTTCTTCCTCCGTAACATACAACATATATATGAACTGAAACGAACCCATCGGGTAAATTGTTGCTAAAAACAGATTCAGGGTCCACGACCAGTGTGTATCAGGTTATTTTATTGTTTTAAATCCTGTTTGTTTCCCTTTTTCAGTTTATTTAATATAACGTTTATTTCCCTAAAATAAAGGAATTAATAAGTGGTTTTTGATTTTGCCCCTTTTCCAGTAGCTTTAATCCTTATTTGGACTGCCATATTTATCCGGAAAAAAGGGAAAAGAAAAGAAAAAGAAAAGAAGGAAAAAAGGAAGGAAAAAAGAAAACCGTCAAAAAGGTCCTTGGGAATAGTGGACCAATCAGTGATCACGGACCTTTCTTCATGGATCCAACCACGATGTACCTTGGATGAGAAGTCTCTACTTAATTATACATCCAATGCTAATAGGACAATCCCACTGTTTCAACGTTGATGATGGCGTATCTGGGGACAATTTCTAGAAACACGTACGTGGCCCTTAAGATTTGATTATATTCCAATTAAAATATCGCATTGTACTTTGAAAACCAATCGGTAGACATTAGTCTGCATCTACACAGCCCTGAACTACACCCAAGTAGGATAACAGTCCGAAAGCCTTAAAAGACCATTGTGTACTCCATACAGATTACCAAATATATACGCAGTATATAACATAAGGTAACATAATGCGAAAGTGCAAGCGATCTCACAAACTCTGCGTGGGGCAGGTCAAGGTTTAATTAAGGATCATCTTAACTGTGGTAGCGTGTTACATGTTGGTCTTGGCATTCGTATGGGGCTCATCTCGGGGGTTTTTCCTTCTGTCTCAGCTTCCATAGAGACTAATAGAATGGAAGGTTCTATTGAATGGAGAAATCACGGGGAAACTGTTGCTTATTCTACTCCGTATAAAGTATAATCTACCTGTTCCAACAGATGGGAGGGGAGAGAGAAAAGAAAAAGGGGGCGGCTATTACCGACTCCCACCGGTTAAGCCGAGAAAGGAAAAACGTGTCAAACCTGGGCTTGTTGGATAATGTTCTGGTACGAGGTAAGTGGACTGGAGTGGACGATGATCTTCATGCTGTTGTATATCACGTCAACAAAACCCCTCAAGGCCAAATAAACGCCACCAATCCCTGTACCTTGTACTCTCGTGCTCTCGTGCTCTCCAAGCCACTTTACAACGTGCTGTGTGCAACCTACCAGGCGAGTCTAATGTATAATGTACAATATATATGCAGTTGTCTTCGAGCTTTTAAGCCTGAGGGGATGGTTCCACCGCCATTTTGTGAAGCGAAACACATTGTACATACTGCCCACGCTCTGGCCCCGCAATTCAACACTCTGGTCGAAGATCGACGAGCACGGGTGTTAAGAAATGCACCAGAGCCGATACTATTAGGTTTCACAACACAGAGTCTTTGGAGTTGGAATTTATGTGTAGCTGAACAATAAGCACATGTATCGTGACGCGGCGAATGTTAAATGCGATAGGTCTCGTGCGAGTTAAGCGGCTGAACCCATAAAATCAATATACTAGTTAGTTATATGCGGTACGAGTGTACGTAGCATATACATATTGTATAACTAACTATATTGTACAACATATGTTGTAGCAGAAAGGTCTATAATCGTATTCCCACCATGGAAGGTTCGAACAATTAATTAAAGCCCCAACGGGCGTCGCGTCGTCGTCGATCGGCCAATTGTTTAAACTGAAACAAGGGTCCAAGAGTCCAGGGCTGAGCCAGATCTTGTCAATCTTAGCCAAGAATACACCCAGGGTGGGTAGATAACTAACTAGATAGGACAACATAACTAAAATAATCTTTGCATACTAAGATGTCGCTTAACCACGTTTATACTAGTCTACTTAAATATTGTAGTTTCATTGTAATTCCAGAAATACCCCTAACTATTCCCTTCTAGGATTAGTACCCAAACCCCCTGCCAAACCCCAACTGCCGGGCTCCGCAGTGGCGTGCAGGTATACCCTATGAGGTATGAGGTATGCTATGATGATCTTTCTCTGGGAAACTGCTTATCCGATGGTTTTCTTTTTCTTTTTCTTTTCTTTTTTTACTAGGATGGTCTATCGCGTGGCATACTTTCGGGGTTGGTGCTATTTTGGAATATCTACTCCGTACAACGTACGCCGTACGCCCTACAACTAGGAAGTTTCAGTAAGGCTTAGTTTACCCAAGAGATACTCCATTTGCATAATTATGCACATTATACGGTCTAATATGTATAGGGGGAATAACCCTGCATATGAGGATGGAATATGATCCAAGCAATATATTATAATTAGGGTTATACCTCCAATCCAGGAATATATATACATCTCCTACAATATATGTTGTAGTTATGTACTAGTAGTATCAGAACTCCGTACGGAGTAGACGGAGTACCATAAATTGTTTGAGATCGGAGATCTCCCTGTGGACCAGAAATACAGAGACCTTACTGGTCTCTTAGTTTTGGTCCGGTTGTTTCACCATCTTCGGGGCCCTTGACTCCATTCGGCCATCGGCTCCCTCAAGGGGGAGAGTCACCCTTTTTAACCTGCAACCTGCCTTACGCGTCCTTCCAAGAAAAAAATCCATTCCTCTTTCCATTTTGCCCCTATCATGATTTGTGTTTTTATTTTATTATTTTATTATTTTGTTTTCAGCTGATAGAGAAGAGGAAGGTGGTATTCACTATGTTGTATTTTTTTAGCTGGCGTTCTCCGATGGTGAGGGCTTTCGCTTTCCCCCCCGGTCCCGTGCCCCCATCTTGACAGGCTTGGATTTCTCCCCTACGGCATCTCCGGAGAGATAGCCGTTAAAGCCACCAAAGGCTTTTTTTTCCAGTCCCAAAAGGGGCCAATATCCGCCGACTTATTCCTATACTGTACTCAATCATGGAATGCCCCGGTTTGCGTGATTATGGCCGTTTCGTGTTCCGGATTCATTTACTTCGTTCAGTCTGAACTCGGCCTCCAGAAATAGCAGCATGCGGGACCCAATATGTACTATTCATTTCCAAGACACCACCTCATTCGCTTACGCGCACCACAACCTTTACGTCAATGGCTCTCGCTTGCCTTATGGAACATGCGATACAAGATGTCACATGAGTTCCTCCGAACCGACTTATGATTGCATGGCACCCAACAGCAGCACACCAGGCACGAGCGAATGTTTCCCTGTCCCGGTTACCCCGCGCATCGATAACAATAATCTCCGGGTCTTGCGACGATGTCGATTGCGGTGCCGAGGTAGAGGAAAGGGAGTCCAACGAAATATACTTGTATCGATAAGAGCTGTGCAAAGGATGGCCCGGTAGACGTGTGTACTTGGACATGGGTCTCGTAGGCTGCTGGTTCTCATTTTCCTTGCGGTCGGATGACTTGTGAGAGGCGACCCCCAATGGTGGACAGCACTCATGTGCAGAGATAAAGCGCACATTATACTTGAGGGGGAAACAAACCGTAGTTGAGGCTCCAGCATCTGCGTGGTTGATCGAGAATGACATGGATGCCTCGGCAGGTGTGATGCCGTTGCTATTGGAAGGCCGGTAATCATTGATAGACAGAGTTAACCCTTCGATATTGACACTGGATGTTGTGCTTGGCTCTGGATTCTCCGTTGGGAGTGTAAAGGCCTCTGCTGTGATATCTCCCATGCCTAGCGGTGTCGATTCCATCATGAGCTTGGCTCCCTGCTTGATTCGAGGCTTTCTTGAGATCTGCGCAACCTCTTCAACCGGGAGTTCAAGCCATCCACACTTGAATAGTTCCCGTGTAATCGCGTCGCGGGGCACCATGTCGCTGCTGATCCACCCCATGCACGTCTTAGCTCCCTTTGAACTAGATAAGACACGTCCGACCACGCATGCTTTACTCCACCAACTCCGTTCGCCATAAACGAATCCTCCATAAAGATTGGCAATTGAGCCTAGTTGATCTAGTGCATCCGCGTCATTCTCAAGCAGTGTCGCCATGAGAAGGTGACTAATCGCCTCTCCGGGTATCACGAACCCGGAGAGCAAGGAGCGCGAGATCCAACCTAAATTTTTAGACTGTGGATCGCCGGAGCTACAAAGCTTGACGCGCCGCCGGCAAGGATTTCGTGTGTACATCTCCTCCTTGGCCAGTAACATCTCCTTAGATATATTTTCCCGTCCCCACTTGTCATCGACGACTAAGGCTGGTAGAACCGGATTGTTACGGTCTCCAAGTTTAAGCTCCATGGTTGCTCTCAGCGCAGCCATTTTTGGCCATCCAATGTTTTCTGCGAAGACATACAGACCCTCCAGCTGCTGTCGAACATGCGAAGAGCTCAGTTCGCAGTCCCAGGCAGACTGTAGATCCGCAACAGGGGGCGAGCTACGCCGAGTGATGCTTTCAAGCAGTGAAAAGCGGTGGCTTTTCTCATGTAGCTTAGTGGCTATAGGGTGTGATTGCGAGCCACCCGGGGATGGCCCTGATTGTGGCGACGGGCAAGTGATATCAAGACTGCTGAGGAACCGACGCACAACAACCAGATCCCAGTTCAGCTTGCCTTCTCGCAACCTCTCGAATTGTACAAGTTCATGTATCGTGATATGACCACCGTGCGGGTCATGCAACATGCCAACTCGAACGAAGGCATCCAAGCGAAGCAGCAACTCGGCAGAGAGGAGCAGCTGGATCAGCAACCACTTTCGCTCTATCCCGGACTTGATCAAAACATCCCGCGGTACTTTCTCATTACTTGAATTACGGCCTAGACAGTCCCCATCGCTATGCAAGGATGTCTCCCATAGGATCTGTCCTGCCCGGAAGCGCCATTCGGGGAGACTGAAATTGATCCATGCTCCGGGGGTGGCTAGCACGATGGCCAAAGTTTTGATTTGGGATTTGACGCTTCGTGGATGACCCTCTATGATGTCGGTAGGTGGAGGGCGAGGGTGAAGGAAGTGCGTGTGTAAACTGTCGTGCAACTCACGCGGACTTTCAATATCCAGAATTGTCCTCGTTGATCCCTCCGTGAGCATCTCATGTCGGAACTTGCGCAGATGCTCTAAGCGTTGCACCAGAGATCGCAGGTTGATATCTCGTACTCCAATGCGCTTCCAGGCTTCGGGGCCTTCGCAGATGAGTTTATGCCGATCGTACACGGCACCACTTTGGCACTGTGAATATGGCTTTTCATACCCCTCCATTAAATGGAACGCCTCCGTTGCCACCATGTTTGAGACTTGTTGTAAAGATGGAGGTTTCCTTGGGGTTTCGGGGCCAGTGTATCCGATCGCATCAGCTACAGGTAATTCAAGAAAGTGCTGGAAACCGACAGTGCCGGGTTCTTTGCCATTATTGGACAGCATGTTGGATACTTCGAAGATACCGACATCGAACGTTGCCCTGTTGCTAGCGCCTGTTCGGCGCCAGTCGAGAACTCCAGTCGGAACACCGCCTTTCACGGCCCAGTCATCTGGGAGCGGCAGATGAGCGTGAAGTGTGCTCAAGGTAAAGGACGCATGGAGCAACGGCTTGCGATCCCACATATGTTGGATTACCGCGTTCTGCTCATCCCAGGGGAAGATCACCTGGGGATACCATCGACCATGCTTGCCTTTCTCCAGAAGGAAGTGGGGTGCCCCAGACAACATTGCCTTGATGTCTTTCGTTGTGAGGTTTGATTCTTCTCTTGAGCTGGGGTTGGCGCCAGGCGAATTATCTTTTGGCTTGCTCGCAATTTTTAATCTGTAATCGAGAAAATCATAGATATTTGAAGGTTGTGCTGGCTCGGAGTATTCCCCTACCGCGGGCAAGTCGCGCTTAGGGGAGCCACGGAGATCTTTGCTGTCATCTCGTCGGCCACTACTCCCTCTTCGTAATTTGGGCCGCAGGCTGGTCTCAGTTGACGGTGACTGTTCTTTTTCCTTTTTCGCCGTGAGCTAGTTGTCACAACGATAAAATAGACATTCTTACTCGGGTTGTGGTTGGAGAATCCGAACTACTGCTGTGCCTTCGGAATAGGCTTCGGAATCCTCCGTCGTCGGTATGATCTTCTTGGTGATCGCTAGGAACATGGCGATGCGATGATGATCGTTTGAGTGTGTCGAATTCGTCGTGGGTAGTAGAAGCTGTGTCTGCGTCTGAGGAACGACGTCGGCCAAATAGGGAAGCCATCAGAGCCTGTGCGGATGCAATTATTGCATCTTCTGATTAAATACAATGCCTTAGGAAAACATAAGAAATATGAAGTATGAAGTATGAAGTAAGAAATAAGAACTATATGCAGAGTGCTGATCTCGGCTCCTCGGCTCGTGGGATGACCCTGGAAGCGGCAATGCGGCAAGTGGGTGTGACACCGAGATTTTTCCGTAAACAGATGAGGTTATGAATTGAATCAGATAGTAGAAATAAAGAAATAATTGAACGGCGAGGTTAGGGAGGTTAAGTTGAAACTTGAAAAGTGATGACGTCTTGCGGACAAGAGCGGCGAGAGCGGCGAGCATCATACCCATCTTCCTACAAAGTACATCTTTTTAAAGGACAAAAAGATGTTTATATACTTCCCCAGTATCTGACTTCAAGCAAAAAAAAAAAATGACATTAAGAACATTAAAGATGGGTCAAGCTCTAGGGCCTGATATACCAGAAGAACTTTACGTGTACATAGGAAGATAATTTTTGGGTTTGTCCATGTAGGATTGATACATCATTTCTCTCGTTCTCTCATTAGGCAATCTAGTTCTCATAGTATCATCAGACTTTTGCGGTAAGGGACTCCCCGTCAATTGTGCCCTTTTTTCGTTTACGAGTGCTGGTGTAAGAATTGGAGAACGGCCTTGTAACCGCGCTCATACTCCTTGCGCACCTCGGTGTTCTCCAGGTCCGATCGCGCAGCCATCCAGCCGTGGATCTGAGTTGGGAAAGTCTCGAAGTACTTGGGGACCTTCAAGTTGGCCTCAAAGTCCTTGACGTCTTGGACAGGCTCGTCTTTTGAGGCCAGAAACGCCATGGGGATGTTCACGGTCTTTGCATCATTGGCGTCGACCATAGCCGGGTGGCACTGCACGGCGGCCTTGAATAGCTTGTTATCAGCGCCAGCGGATAGGGAGGCGATCTTGCCGCCCCAGCAGAATCCCAGGATCGACCAAGATTCGAAGCTGCCACCAGGGGCTAGCTTGTTGCCTTCGGCGACGACATTGGGGATTTTGGAAAGGGTTTGGGGTGGCGCAGCCTTGGTTGAGAAGAAATGACCCAGCTTCTCCTTGTGTTCCTGGGTGGTGGGGGGATACCACGAGATGTCGGCGGGGCTACCCTCGAAGAAGTCGGGTATGACGACGCGGTATTTTTGGTCGGTCGACGTAGCGAGGATGTCGGCACCTTGGACGGTCTGGTCAAAGAAGCCGAAGATGTCTGCAGATCATGCAATTGCATCAGTAAGTTGTCGGTTTGCTTGTAGGGGAGGTTGAGTGACTGACCATATACGACCAGGATGGCCTTGGTAGCTGATTCCGGGCCGGTCACGTCTAGAAGTGATCTGGTTAGCTCAATTTATAAGAGGTTAGGGAAAGTAAGAACTCACAGGTCTTCAGGCCATTGATGGTCTTGTATTCTCCCTTGGGTTGATAGCCCTTGGACACAACAGGGGGGATTCTGTCCACGGTGATGGTCAGACATGCACAATTGAAACATCGCATAATTCAATGGTTATAGGATAACGAACGAGCAACAGGCTTTGCTGATTCCAGACATGGTTGTAGAGAAGCAATGGAAGGGAGGTGTGCTAAGGTGGTGTTTGGTTGCAAGCAACGGTCTTCGGAAGGTCAGAAATGGCCTGTATTTCATTTAGGAGTAATCGGTACTAAAAGAGGAACATACAATCTGCAATTTAATTCTGAATCAAAAGCGAAGTTGAATAGATGAGCTAAAGTAGAAAGGAAACTCGAAACGCAAAGAAGAAAAATATTGAAATTGCTGTACCCCGCCGGTCGACGTCATCGGAGCAATACTCCGCGATTCAAGATACAACCCAGTACAACTAGGAAATCTCAAGGCTACATGTATTTACCTTGTCTCCTGTTGAGTTATTTTCGGTTTCTTGGTAGCTTGAATTTTGAAACTGATCTATCTAGTCTGTTCTCTGTTTGGTCGGCTTTTGATGCGATCGGGTAGTCTACATAGAATATACCTAGGTATATATATATGGCTGACTATAGCCGAGGTTATATGTCATTTATATATCAACCCCCAAAAGACAAATAGGTAGCACAAACGGTGTGCAATTGAACTTGAATTACACATTCTACAACAGTAGCCAGCCGCATATATGGCCTAGTCATGTCTTTTTTGGTGATATTTTTGGTGGTCTTTTGGTGGTTTTTAGATGTTCTTTCTAGACATTTTCCAACTGTTCTTTTAGTTGTATTTTTTAGATATATAAGGTGGTAAAAACGTCGTACTTCGTGCAAGAGACTTTTCTATGTACAACTAACTAAGGATTTAGAATTTAGAATTTAGAATTTAGGCAATAAGCTCGGATAGATGGTGAGCCTGTGTAGCGAAAGACTCATAGAATTAGATGCTATAACCCGTAGTAAACCAAAAGAGAAGAAGTATCTCAAATATCACCGGGCCTTGATGAGACCATTTCATTTATGCAATCAGGGGTTTCACTGCAGATACCGTCATACCGGACACCTAGCTTTATGGGCTTGAGAGGCCGAGGGCGATAAAGACAGTAAATCAAATCAGCCAAGTTTTCATGATAAATTGACACGATGCGAGAGAAAGCTGACCTCTCTTTCTAATACTTCCACTCAAGGCAATACAATGCAAGTAGGTCCACAGTCAGAATCTTGCTGCAAGGGAGGATCTTACAGCGACCGAAAGATGCTCGTGGGGCTGTTCCCATCGAAGAGGCAAAATAATAATAAAAATAAAAATAAAAATAATAACAATGAAAATAATAGTAAAAAAATAAAATGAAATTCCCCAAAAAAAAACATAAAAGCCGAGACAAAGATTCTAGACCCAGAAACAGAAGGAGAGACCCGTGCTCTATTATTCTTTTGTTTGAGACCCATATATTAGCACATTTATAATGGATATACAGAATGGTCCACGTTGGAAAAAAGATGCCAAAATGTGTGCTCTGACCTCGGCAAATCCACCCAGGCCGGGACATGCCCATCGGCTCTGCACGAAACTCATGGTCGCAGATCTCCCGGGTGAGAAAGATAACCAACCTTCCACGAAACGCCATTCCCGAGGACGATCGTGAGCGCCAACCGCGAGCCTCACCGAAGCCACCAACGGCAAGAGCCGATGTAGGCGTCACTAAGGCGTTCAAGACCAGCCAGGTGGATCCTTGCGCGCTGTCACATCTGGACCGTAGGAGCCGCCTTGCATGAAAGGAGCGACTAATCGGCTGTGAACCGTAGCATAGTGTCCAGGGATTGCACCTATGATCTAGAAAAGGCTGTGCGAGGTCGATCAACCGGGAACCCAGCTTAGGAGAGGGGCCACACACAGATTGATGATCAACTGATCGTCGCCGATATGGACCTTTTGGGTAGGCGATGTGCGGCTACAGACGCGGAGGGATACAATATATGGGCGCTATCGAATTGTCGACTTTATTTCGGGATCTAAGACAAATCAGGGTGCTTAGTGAATGTCAGTATACTGCGTACAATATAGAATGTATAGAATGTACAATACCATAATATTGGATAATATTGGAGTAATGCTGTGTCTGTCACTGAACACACAGCTAGGGTAAAGGTATGCAGTTCTTAAGAATGTGACTCGGCTACCTAAGCCTTGCCCCCTTTTTCTTTCTTTTTCCTGTTCCCCCCTTCTCCTATTTCTTCCTTTTTTTGTTTTATAAGAGCACTGCAGGTTTAAAGCGTAACTTGCTACGGAGTACCAAATACGGGGGAAATGCGGACCAGATCGTAATATTAAATTCCATGCGCCAGTGGACCTGTCTAAGCTGTGCCAAGGAGCTTCAGCTATCCCAAACATCCTATGCATAGATTAGATGGAGTCACCAGTCTCTAGTATTCGGCATATATTTTCAAACCATGTGATTGTTAGTTCGCGGCAGATCAGCTCTGTCAAATTTTATATTTGGTTTAGCTATGTATGGGGTAGTACATACTACAGTGATAAACATCGATCGACAGGGCATGTCCTTTCTCCCCCCTCCCATTTTCGCCCTACATAAGCATCTGCCACGTCCGTGCAGAAGGCAACGAAAGTGCTGCCTTCATTGATTGGAGGATAAGTCACCTGTCGGGACCGAGGCGAAGTTCTCGTGTGGAGTGCTTGAGACCCGTTTCAGTGGCATTGCGCCACCCAAAGTTGATATAAGAGACTTGGATGGAAACCCGACGGAGTGGATGCTGGAGGCGATTGGCTTTCGGGGAGTGAGAGAATAACGGGTATAGTGTTCAGTTGACCTTTTAAGGCCCGAGCCAACCTTGGAAAGTAAAAACAAAAAAGCGAAAGGAAAACACGAAAGGAGCTACCATGGCCGGTGAACCCGGGGGACCAATCAAAACGACCTTCTACTTTGGCTATTGAGGGGCTAAAAAGAAAAAAAAAGGGAAGTGCAGATGACCATCAGAGACATAGATTATAGGTGTCTAAGAAGTACGGAGTACTCCGTAGTTATGGTCTACAATATACCTACGGTCTAAGTAGGTTGTATATTATATGGAATATGGAATATGGAATATGCTAAGAACCAAAAAAAAAAAAAAAAAAAAACATCAATATTTTTAAAAAAGAAGAAAAGAAGGCTAACTAAATTGCGCGATCATGCTTTTAATTAACGAATGACCAACGAGACAGCTCGCTTCCCTCTGCCCTTCTCTACCTTTCTCGTATTCTAGCCATTCCGGTCTTGTCCGTGCGTTGTCATGTTGACCTTCTTATTGGATAGAAATCTTACCTTGATAGTAGAAAAAGAAAAGTATATGGATCCATTACTGATATTTCCTTTTTTTTTTTAATTCTTGGAAGTCAATCTGGGAAATTTCTTTCTTTTCTCTCAATAATAGCTGGGTCCATTCTTGTTAGCACAAGTTTCTCTCCGGAGTCCCTACACTAGCGTCCTTTTTTTTTTTTTTCACGCGATCAGTCCGGACGCAAGGGATTTCCCTCGAGGAAGAAGGGTCTTTATTTATTTATCTTTCCTTGTTCTATAGAATAGCACGGAGTACTCTATAACTATACATAGTTACTTTAGTTATGTTATTGCATGTATGTTAGTTAACTAGTTATTGTTTTGGATATGCATAGAGTTACATCCAAGGAAATAAGAAACTAAACCAGTTCATATAACTATCTATTTTATATCTTACATGTTGTATATCAAAAGTGAAAGGGAAAAAAATCCTCCTAATAAAGTCAACCATTCGGAACAGCCAACCGGGCAACTTGTTTCTTTAGCTGTCAACCACGTTCTCTGCTGACACCCCTCTCTCTCTCTCTCTGTTTTTCACCTTTTTTTTTCGCCCTTTCGCCCTTTTTCCCTTTTATTTTTTTAAATTTTTTTCTTCTTGTCTCTCGGCTCTTTTAATATGTGACTCTTATTTTATTATACCATTCTTTTCCCCACGGTGGCTAGACCCGTGTCGACTCCATTCCCAGAAAAAGGGAAAAAATCAATCTTATTTACTTTTTTGATTTTTATATTATAACTCCTGACTCTCTGACTCTCTCTCTCTCTCTCTTTCTTATTATAATACCTCCCCCGCGCTTGTTATCGCCTTCCGACGCCACGGTCCTTTGCCCACTTCCTCCCCACATCTCTCTCTTCCTCTCAGCTTCACTTTTTAGTGTTTCAACTTCTTTAAATCGAATTTCTTCCCGAGACCATGTACTACACGCGTTTTCGTCGACCGTGACAAATTCACTTTGACTATTCCCTTTTTTTTTTTTTTTTTTCCTTTCCCTTTTTGCTAGTTTCAATTTTCGAGAGTTCTCTAGTCCTTCCAGAAATTCCCCTATTTCTCGGAACCTGAGTCCCTCGACTCTCTCCATATTCCGATCGCGAGCCCCAGCGATCGACGATCGCCCCTCCTGGATTCTACCAGCCCTTCCGGGGCCGTACCTGGCGATCGAGATTGGGCTCTGAGCGGATCCTCTTTTGGCCAACTCACCAACATCAACGACCCCGATTTCTACGTAGGAGTGAGGGATCCATCCGTCAATCTGGCGACCCTAGCAGTCCCGGCGGGAATGGGGACAGCGTTAGACGCGTTGTCAGCCCCGCCGTTGAACATTCGTCGTCCAGCGGCCCCGACATTACCTAGCTTTGAGCTCCCACCACCACCGTTCACGTTGGGTACCGCCCCGGCAGCACCCAAATACGGACATCCCACCCACCCGCCAGTCTCCCACGCGCCAGTGAATGCGAGCGTGGGTAACCTACTAACGCCACCGGCCACGATTCAAACAGGGGAGCACGCCACACCCCAACCCTTGGCGCCATCAACAGGCGCGTCCTCCGAGCTACCACCAGCATATTGGTCAGGGGCTAATCCATACGGACAGTCCTGGGGATCCGGGGTAAACCAATACTCAGCCCGCAGTTCCTTTTCACCATCCAGTATGCAGCGCTCATCGGTAATCGCACCACCGACCACGGATGGGTTGCCGCACCCATATGAAGGCCCGACATTATCTTACCAAGCTTTACCCGCCCCATCAACCATGCCCCCTTCCGCTTCACAACCTCCCATGAACATGTATCATGGGGGACCCGCTACATCCCCCGCTCCACTCCCCTCCAACGATCCATATGCCCCCAAACACCAGCATATGTATGCCACTTCTCCTCCCATGCACAGTCCCCACCAGGCCGGCTTCTCTCCCATGTATGGCCCCGCAGGCCTTGGCATCCACCCTCCAGGCCGAATGCCTGTTCATAGTCCACCAGCCGGACAGCCACCGTTGGGATATCCCCGCCAACCGTGGCCCTCATATTCTCTCCCAGCGATGAACGGCCCCGTCATGACCAACGTACACAGCCCCGGTGGGCCCATGTCGATGATGGGTGGAATGCAACCCGGGCTTCTCCCGGGGTTCAACAGTGGACATGTCGCCAGCTCTCAACATCTATATGGGGGCCATCCGCCCCCGCACGGCATGCCCGCCCCCGCGGCGGACCGGCCTTTCAAATGCGACCAATGCCCACAGAGTTTCAACCGCAATCACGATCTCAAGCGCCACAAACGTATTCATTTAGCCGTGAAGCCTTTCCCCTGCTCGCACTGTGACAAGAGCTTCTCGCGTAAGGATGCTCTTAAGGTATGTATCTACGATCATCATGTAACAATTGCCGTTTACTGACTTTTGCGGGTAGCGACATATCCTTGTGAAAGGCTGCGGAAAGGACGGCGATTCGGAGAACAGCAACCAAACTGGGGCTGATATGAAGGGCGAAGGGCGGAGTGAAGACGGCAGCCCAATCCTCAATGGACGAGTTTGAAATGCGTTCCGGTCTTCCCGCTTATAACACTCTTTCGTCGCGACGTAACTCCCGAACGTTCATCCGCATATTTATAGGGGTGAAGTTTGAAGACATTGTATGTACCTACCGAGGCATTGGGAGTCGGGGTTCCTATCGGATTTTATTTTGATTTATATTATATCTTTTTTTTTCGAGCTTTGGCGAAGGGTTTGTGATTTGGGCATCATGGGAAGGTCTGACCTCTGCTTTTTTATCTCAATTTTTTTTTTTTTTCCTATCCGGATTTATGTTTACTATATGTGCTTATCAGACTCATGTGTGACGTGTGTACCTATCCTGCTTCTCTGTGATTTAAAGCGATTAAGCGAACTGGAACTGTTAATGGGATGGACAACGTCGGTATATACACACCCCTTCAATTATGAGATGGAACATACTCCGTACATTAATCGTCTTAATGTTTGTACTAAAACAGCTTCCAAGCCACATTTCGTTACTCCACAATTATTGGCTACTTATCAACCTATTGACGCTTGATATGGGGGTGTTCGTCTGATCGATGGCTGATTTGGCTGAACCCATCTTCAGCCACTTACTAGGTAACCACATGGCTGTCTTATTCTAATTCAACAACGGGTAATCGGTGAGAATACAAGTATTTAGGTATGTTTGCATCTATTGGGATGGATCTTATGGCTCCCTATTTTTGTGTTCTCGGGGAAAAAATATCATAGATCCTCCCATTGTAAGACGAGATAGGTATCATTGTGCTTGGCCCATCACTAAACCAAGGAACGAGCCTCCGTACAAGTAGATGATCGCCATCTCTCTTTGATCGAGGATGGAAACTATCACAATTATACTTTGCTTCAATTCTCCGCAAGATCCCTGTTCGTCTCCCCCTTTTTGTTGTATATATGTTGGGTGATCGAAGCCCCCATGGGGGTCAGCTCAACTACATCCTAGTACCTTATGCAAGTCCGATATATGCCACATCATTTTTCTCTTTTGCCCCTCCATTTTGATCGATAGTGGATGCACTTCATGCCTTCTTCATTGAGACCATTGAATAGCATTTTCCAGATATATTCCATCATGCTTCCACTGCTGTTGATATGTGTTCTGCTAGCACAACAGGCTTTAGCATTTCCTCGTCAGCACAGAGCCAACGAGAAACCCCTACCATATTCCCTCCATGATAGCAGGGACACTCGTAGCAGAAGCTACAAGATACCCAGCGCTGTACAAAACGGAACCAGCAAAGCCCAGTTTGAGATCCCAACGCCAGCAACCACCCTTGATATAGAGACCCTCTTCCGTCTAGACGCACCTCAGATAGATTCAATCAACAACTCCGTGTTCGACTGGTGGTATTTCGATGCCGTCTCAGAGACCAACCCAGATGATTCCCTAGTCGTCACATTCTTCTCCTCATCCGCAGAAGCATTTCCATTCCTCGACGCGAATGAATCCTCCGTGCTGACCGTTTGGCTATGGGCTTCGTTCGCCAATGGAACCGTCTTTTACGACTCCGTCCCGGCAACCGTGGCAACTGTCACTGGCGCAGGCGGCGCGGGCACTAATAGCTCCGGCGAGTGGTCCTCCACTGGCTTTAGCTGGGCTGCTCTTACAGAAGATCTATCTCGGTATGAGATTATCATCGCGTCTGAGAAGTTGCAAGTCGAAGGCCGGCTTACCCTGACTTCGGTAAGTAGTTGGTTCGAATAGTAAGAATAGACAACTTGCTAACTGTACCAAACACAGCAAGTACCGCCTCATCTGCCCTGTGGAATCCAACCGGAGCGGACTGTACTTGAGATTGCACCTCATATCGGATGGGTTAATTTGATACCCGACGCCGTGGGTGAGGTCGACATGAAGATCCAAGGGTCGACGCTGAAGTTCCGAGGGCCTGGGTACCACGACAAAGTAAGATTTGACCTTCCTCCGGACACCTGGACTGGAAAACTGAGAGCTGACCAAGTCATAGAATTGGTCTGATCAACGCTTTGTTGATTCTGTCCACAGCTGGTACTGGGGCCACGGTCGTCTAGGGCCATACTCGATTGTATGGTTCAGTTACCTCGCCATGGATGACCCGACCAACGCCACGTATGTGAGCAGTTACGTTGCCAAAGATGGGGAGGTGCTTGTATCGGCTTGTGATCCTTCTATTCTCACCGTGAGGCCGATTGGTAGTCCCGGGACTACTGGTGGGCGATACCCGCCACGCGTGGGTGATCTACCGGAAGGATTCCGATTGGAATATGATCTCGGAGAGGGAGGTCGTCGGTTGGAAGTTAATGTGTCGGTGAGAACGGTGGTTGCTGGGGATGAAGAATATTATATGAGATGGACAGGTGATATGGTTGGCGAGGTAATTGAGTCTGAGAGCCGACAACCACAAGATGTCGGTGGTGGTGAGCCCAAAAAGGAAATGGGAGAACGTTCCGAACGATCATCTTCATCTCTCGTTGGTGTTGCGGTTTTGGAGCAATTCGTTATGATGGAATAGATGATGCCGAAGACGAGCATTATCAAAGAAAGTAGTAACATGTTCATATAATATACTCACATATAGTATATAGAAAACCACCGTTATATTGGCTTGGATAGTTTTCGACTTATGTAGAAGAAAGGAATGGGAGTACAACGGAGATACTCGGGCGACGCACGAACGGAAATGAGAAGACAAAATATTATATATCAGACAAAATGAGACGAAACAAAATGACGATCCCCAAAATATCACTGGGTACGTTGCTTAGACTTCCACTCTTCGACCAAACCTCGGTAATCCTCAGGACCATATGGTTGGAAGCAACGGGCTAGCAAGCTGTGCTTACGCTGTGGTGACAGACCCAGTTCTCCGACCATCAGATCAACATATGGGATGGCGTCAAACACAAAGTCAGGGTTCCGCCGCCCGAATCCTCCCGGGTAGCGATATTTGCCAAATTCGGTAAAGAGAGCTGTCTCCCAGGCAAGGTCGATTTCTGACGTGTCTTCCGTCTTGAGGTCGGACGCAGCACGCACATCCAGTGGGCAGCTTTCCCGTGTAGTTGGGGTCAGGTCGCCCTTGAAATAGGCTGAAATCCACAGTGCCTGGGTCTGAGCAATTAGGGTGGTGTTGATAGTCATGGTGATACCCATGAATGCTAGAGAGCGTTCCTTTACCAGCGAAAGTGGGACCATAAACTTCGCCAGCCGGAAGGGGTGCGGCACAGCCGCCTCGGATTGCTCGTTCAACGGGGTGTAGTTGGGGTTCGGCTGGGGTTGATCACGCAGCCGGGGGAACCGGCGCAAAATCTCTTCTTCCGCCTCTTTCACCAGGTTTTGGTTTAGCGGATCTACACTCCAAGGGAATCCCAATTCGCGGTCAATGCCTTCTGGCAGGAACTTAAGGTTTGGAGTGCAACGCCAGCCTGTCGAGCAGATTAGTGCTGAAGATGGCAGCGCCTCACCTGAGGACAGATGAACAGTGTGATCCGAGAGACGGTCTAGATCAGCGACGTGCACCTTGATGGTGCCATCCCTGACCAAATCGAAGAAATTGGTCGGATAATTTAGAATGCTGAGCGAGGAAGCGATCCAGAATGGGCTCACCCAAGGCTTCAGCTTCTTTGTTTCTGGGTGCTTGTCGTACTCATTCAACTGCACGACATCATCGGCTAGAGTAGCCCAGAACGAGTCCACAATCTTACGACCCAGCCAGGTACCATGCAAGAAGCTGCGAACACCAGAATACCCGTCAGCTTCTCCCCAGATACATGGACTGAACCAGGTCAACAGGCGCGTTGTGACCAGCTTTTCCAGCCACTTTTTCAAGGGCGTCACATAGGGAGGGGCCATCCAAACAGGTCCATGACCGGACTCACGAATGATCCAGTCTACTTTCATACCTGCCGTTGCGCAGGCATAAGCCGCATCCCAGGCTGACTTGGTCCCGCCAAAAACGGTTGCGCGCTCTCCAGACTGCAGTACTGCACCTTGATACTGTAGCAGATCGCGACAGTGGAAAAGTGGCGCACCAAAAGACTCCTGTCCCTTGAACGTAGGCAGATAAGCCTGTGATGTGATACCGGTGGCCACAATCATCTTCTTGGTATCGATTGATGTCGTATCCGCTCCGTGTGACACGCTCAACTGCCATGTTCCGTCCGAGGTATGTCGCGCACTTTCCACATGGTGTTCCAGTCGAATGCAATCGGAAAAGCCAAAGTGGTGCACATATGCCTCCATGTACTTCTGAATTACATGACCCGGAATATGCTGTCCAGGCTTGATACCAAAAGTCGCTTCGTCCATAGGGAAGTCGCTATACTCATACGTGCCCAGCATATTGTTCGACTTGAGACCTTTGTACAAACGGTGCTTGGCCCATACTCCGCCAATAGAGCTAGCAGCTTCCAGCAAGAGCACATTATGGCCGGGATTGACCTCGCGGTAGGTCTTGACGGCGGAGAGCCCGCTCCAACCTATTGGATGCCAACGTCAGCGAAATAGTTTGCGACAGTAAAGACTTAACTTACCTGCGCCTACCACCACAAGATCCACGGACTCCATTTTTGAAGACTCCCTTGCTTTCGTATTTTTTTCTTTTCCTTTTCTTGGAGTGGTAGAAAATAACCGATTGCGGACCAGGATTAATGCACGAATTTATGTACAAGTAAACAAACGCAAGTCCAGATTGCTTTGTACAGGAAACGAAGGAATGAGGGACAAGTAGAGGTATTAGCGTCGAGTACTTGTAATGCTTTTGAGTTTTTTTTTTTATTTCAAGCCCTTGCCGTTGCAGAGGATGGAATGGTGGGACTCTTAAATTAGCTTAAAAAAAAAAAAAAAAAAACTCACTTTGACAGTTTTAGCAAAGTTCAGCATTGTATGGAGTATATTTTCTGAGACAGACATGTTAAAAAAAAGAATTGAAGGACCCGAGACATTTGAAAGAACAGATAGACCTTACCGAGAGTACGGAGTAGATGATCCTTTAATGGTATTATCATGGCTCATGAACTAACTACCCGTGCCCCCAGTCCTAGACCCCTTGGCCTATCTGGGTAACAGACTACTACTTGGCATGCACTTACTTTGTATGTCGTACTTTGTATGTTGTACTTAACTAACTAGTTAGTTGTACTTTGTACTCCATACGGAGTAGACTCTTCAGTGTCAGGAGGGGCTCTTCTAGACAATTCGAATCAACACTGAATATTTGAATATATATATTTTTTCTTTTTCTTTTCTTAGCTTCGCTCGGTCGTTTGCACTATTTTAGCCTTGCGTCAAAGCGTGGCCAGACTGGGGATCGTCAGTTCTTCTATAAGGGCAGCCAAATGTACGGAGTAAACCATACCCCACTGTTATTTTAGATACTTTTTACTGTGGAAACAGCGTGGCTGGCGTTTGGATTTACTAATTTTGGGCAAAAAAAAAAGAAAACAAGAAAACAAGAAAACAAAAGTCGGGACTAACAATATGCAGGCTGCCATTCCTCCGTTGGTATCTCAATCCGACTATTGGACACTGTCCAATGGAACTGATTGATCTCATACAAATTATTTGACAAATACAACATTGTACAGAGTACAAGGCTCACAATTGCCTCGGCTTAGAAAATTAAGGAGCCCCGAACTGCCCGTTACGTCTTCGTAAACGACCCGCTTTTTTTTTATCCACCAAGTCGTTGGCGGCGAGTTTTCCGCTGTCATGAACAAAGTTTTACCTCTGATATGAAACATGATGTTTCTTATGCACAAAGTTAAGGTTGATTGATAGTGTCAAAATCGAAGCCGTCAACCCCCCCAATTCGGACCGGAACCCGAGGCCTAATTTAGTACTTATGATCTCTCCTGGACTCGTTTGGCGGGTTACCTAAAAAAGCGGCAATGATCGCTTATTGATAATAATACGACTGGCCTGAGCGTCCGATGGCTAGTCCCAAATGTTCTGTTACCTACATATTCTCGGAGTAATGTCCAGCCTGATCAGCAATCAAACCAACCCAAAAGAGAATGTGGATCGGAGAAATTGATACATACAACCTATACATCCCTGTCCTTGCTGCAGCATTGTATGGCTTGTTCCCCATAATTAGCCAAAATACGCAAGCTTTATGCAACTGTACTTTACCCCGTAAGTTTGTCTTTGGGATGGTCCGTTTGCGCGTCATATATCGTAGTTGACATCCCCGCTAGCATTGCGGTCCATTACTGCCTCTCTGGCCTAGTTGATATTGTGCCTGGGTGTGGCACTCGTGTGTAACCGAAAATAAACCTCAGGTTAGACAATGTGAGTTCTAACACGGCACGGAGTACTCCGTACGGAGCACTCCATAACTATTGTAACAACTTGCTCTTTTACTCCGATCGTTCCCCCAACGGGGAATGTCATATGGACTCAGGGGAGATGTGGACCTTTTGACTCCTGGTTTACATTTCCAGGGACCAATAATCCGGGACTGGAACAAACGGTCTTCTTGACCTTAAACTCCTCCCCGGCACGCTGAAGGACCCATAATCCGTGTCCAGCACCAAAGATAGTCCATCGCTGTCCAATGAGACTTGTGGACGTCGCCACTCCTGCAGAAGGGTCGGGAACCTGTCATAAAATTTCCTTCACTTGTGGAAATATCTACATAATAGATGGGGCTTGCATTTAGCTAATGTGAGCCACAATAAGTAAGTAGACAACATGGCCAACGGACATTTGAGATCGATCTTGTCCTTGCGTTTTCTTTTCTTCGTTGGTGTTGATAAGTCGACTACGGAGCGGGCTTGGTTCTTTATCCGGTCTGATTCCAATAGCAACGAAGGCCAAGGGAGATCATTGACATACTGATACTGCCTTCTGCCGCTTGTTTCAACAACCCCCCCCACTCGATGCAATTGACTTTCTCTTCCTTTATCTGAATGCACACCCTGGGTTGAGCTGTTTTTTTTTTTTTTTTCCTTTGGTTTTGATGGCATATACCACAAATATATCACTGTAACTTGATCAACTATGGAAGGGTTTAATACTGAAGCGTTCACCTTGTTGGGGGTAGCCATTGTCATCATTGGCCTACGAACGACCGCAAGATGGATTATGGTTGGCCCAAAAGGTTTCCAAGCCGATGATTATCTAATGATGGTGGCATGTGTAAGTTGAATTAGAACTTGTCTCTTTGCTTTCTTTCTGCTAATCAATATGGGTATAGGTGGTGTATGGGCTGGAAACCGGTGCTGCGTACATGGTCGGTGCGTGGTTCATGGGCCTTGCCAATAACGCGATGACGGATGAACAACGAAAAAGTTTGTCGCCTGATTCGGAAGAGTATCGTCTGCGTGTAGGTGGCTCCAAGGTCCAGGTGGCCGGCTGGTCATTATACACTCTGCTGTTATGGTTGCTGAAAACATGCATGGCCATTTTCTACTCTCGATTGACGTGGGTTTTCATTCTGTCGCATCTGTTTCGCTCTTTGTCACTAATGTATATCCTACTATCTAGCACAGGCTTAGTGAATATGCGGATCCGTATCCACCTCGCCTATGTTCTGATCGCCATAACTTATATTGCTACAATCTGCTCGATTCTCTTTGCATGTCATCCAATGGAGAAAAATTGGCAAATAGATCCAAACCCTGGGAGTACGTCAAACCTTATCGACTTGTTACCCCAAAAGACTGTGCCTCTGACTATTGTTAGATTATTGCCAGCCTGCCGTGTCCAAGATCGACATCTATGTGACTGTGGTACTTAATGTCTCGACCGACCTCTATCTGATTAGTATTCCAGCTCCGGTAAGCCTCCCTCTAAACATTTGTGTGAACTGTCACTAACAATACCTGCATTAAGATGCTTGTCAAAGCGCGACTAAAATGGCGGGAAAAACTCGAGCTCCTGGTTCTTTTCAGTGGTGGTTTATTTGTGATGATGGCTGGTATTCTGCGTTGTGTCCTCATCCTAACAGTAAGTCATATTGAGAGTTATTTGATGAAACAACAAGATCTAATAGTTCGTTAGGCTGGTGCAAATGGGGCTCAACAAGCTGGCAGCTGGGCCTGTCGCGAGACTTTCGTCGCGGTCGTCATCGGAAATATCCCCATGATATACCCGTTGGTAAGGCGAACCACAAGACGTGCTGGTCTATACATTTCATCAAGGGGTGGCTCAGAGAGCTACCCTGGATACCCTCTATCAGATGCAGATGCCGACACTGGCGGCGGCGGGTATCCCAGACGCAAGAGGTTTCGCCATCCGTTATCGATTCCTGGAGACACCCAATGGAATGCAACCAGCGACGAGCAAATGATCTTACCTACCTCACGACAACAACCGGCCACATGTACCGCTGGCGATGGCGACTGGGAGTCCCACAGCCAGAGTAGCCAGAATGGGATAAAGGTTGTCCATGAAACAATTATTCACAGCTCCGAGAAGACTCCTCGGCTATAGTACGAAGACTTTTAATTAAAAATGTTGCGGAGACCTTTAATTTCTCTCATTTTGTTGACTTTGTGGGTTTGGGGCGTTGGCATGTCTTATCATTTGATTTACTTCTGTTGTATATATTTTTATACCCCTTTCGGCTTGGCTTTTGTCCTTTTTTTGCTTGTCTTACGAATCCAAAACTACATCACGGAGAACTACATCTAGTTTCATCCAAGAAATTCGCAATCTGACAGAATAATACTTGAGTCTGTTTCCAGATCAACAGAGTGTGAGACTGATTGTGATTTGAACACATTCTAACCCATGCACATTGCATGCATATTGTTACACCGAATTTGGTTTCAACTGAGTAGATGCAAATTTCCATTCACTTGCTGAAGCGATTTCGTAGAGTCTTGCATCAAGGGGTGGGTATTTGAAACCGATCGAAGTAAGTACGCAAGGAGGATATTGACCGATGGCGAAATAAAAGGGAGATATCATCGATGTTGACTACCTAGGAAGTACGAAACTAGATCTATAGCGAACGAATAGGAGACATTGGCAGTTAACCGGCCCCTGTAAATTTTCTTTCGAAAATACGGAGGGTCCGCCGCCCATATTAGAACAGATCACCATACAGAACAAGTCACCATCTAGAACAGATAACCCATATAGAACATATCACTTATATATTAGAACAGATCACCTAGAACATATCACTTATATATTAGAACAGATCACCTAGAACATATCACTTATATATTAGAACAGATCACCATGTAGAACTAACAGAATCTACGTGGTTGAGATTGGAGAAATAATACTGTAGGATTCTCTGCTTGCGGTTGGACGGAGAGGAGAAGGAGAGAAGGAGAGAAGGAGAGAGAGAGAGAGAGAGACTATCTACTGCACAAAGAGGATCGATCTGTCCCAAGTGGGGCCCTGGGTCTCAGGCACCCAGGCACCCAACAAGAACATTTTACTTTGATCATCTACCACACCAATGACAATGCCTGAATCTAACCAGGTATTCAAATCATTAATGATCGTCACTGATAATTCTGTGTAAGTAGTTGAATACTCTCTGCGGCCATACTCCATATAATGACACCATCGCTTTAACAATAAGCAACTTTGATTGATCTAAGGACCACACACACATATGTACACATATAGGTATCGAAAAACAGTGTCTGCGAGTGCTCTATATCGTGATCTACTATCTCTATTGCCATAAGCCCATGGATATTAACTACACATTCGCATTTGGTAGGAAGGGGAAGCTTAAACGAAAACTGCAATACCTAACTAGGTATTCCCTAGGTTTTGAAACATTTGGCTAGTTAGTTAACGTATTTCACAAGCGAGTGACCCAGTCCGATACATATAATTTAAAATTCTTACCAACAGCTATCGGGTAGATATGAAGTCAAGCAAGTACGTTGTTGACATAGTTATAAGGTTGTGGTTCATCTCATTTACTAGTTAACTAACTGTGTATTTCTGACTATGTCACTCGCTTATGAAATGCATTAATCTCAACACCCTTGGACCCGTACCACATGATTATATAATATTCTACCGATCGAAATATCCGCCTCAAATTAGCCAGGTAGCTATTATAGCATACTTGCTATGCCAAAAATTACCTTTCTGACTAGAATATTACCACTGAGAAGCTAAACCATATTTTTAACAGATGCTAAGAGGTTTCGGGCACTTTAAATCAATCCTTGATGAGCGGGTTTGGTAAGCGGTATAGTCTTGATACAGGCGGTGTTAAGATTAAGGTGTTGTCTCTGTTCGTTCCAAGGTTCGTCGTTCCAAGGTTCGTCGTTCCAAGGTTGGCAGTTGATCTGCATTACCTAATCGATTTGGTGGAGTAGATAGAGCGGTCAGCTCAGCCACCATCTTGGAGTTTATAAAGACCAGCATACGGAATAAAGAGATCAGAACTAATCTGATGAATTTAAGTCAGCTCCTTATGATTGGTATGCATGTGCAAAGAACTATGGCTGCATCGCCCCTGCTCTTTCTCCTTGGAGTTCTCTCCTTCATCTTTCCAGTAACCGCCTCTGATATCTCTCCTCTTCTCTCCACCCTTTCCTCGTCTACTAAGGTTTACTATCCTAGCGATGCAAATTGGACCGACACCGTCCAGCGATGGACCACTTGGGAGGAACCCACCTTCTCTCTGGCCATTAAGCCTGCCTCCGTTGCTGATTTGCAGACGGTTGTACGTTTTCTTCCTCTAAATGCCCCCTCTCCCATTTGACCGTGTAATACTGCAGGTCAAATACGCTTTCAAGCATGATGTTCCCTTTTTGGCCAGTGGTGGTGGCCATGGATACAACCCCTCTTTCGGGGCTCTTCAAAATGGTCTCAAGATTGACCTGGGCCTGTTCAATGGTGTCACCATCGATACAAATCAGAACACTATGACTATTGGTGGCTCTGTTAAATTTTCTCAAGTGACTGGACCTCTCTTTAAAGCTGGAAAAGAGATTCGTAAATATTTACCCCATACGGTGTGTTTAGTGTCGTCTCTAACGCATTTCCAATAGAAATTGGCTCCTGTCCTTGCGTGGGAATGGTGGGCGCTACCCTTGGTGGTGGTGTTGGTAAATACCAGGGACTCCACGGACTCATTCTTGATGCTTTAGAGTCGGTCCAGCTCGTTACCCCTACTGGCGATCTCATCACCGTCTCTGCCACACAGAACAAAGACCTATTCTGGGGCCTTCGTGGCGCTGGTTTCAACTATGGAATTGTCACCTCGGCCACATACCACGTCTACGATCTAACCAACAACGGCAATGTGCTCAACGTCGACTTCATGTTCCCTGCCAGTCTTAACGAGACCTTTTTCAATATTCTGGCTAGTTATGTAACCTTGCCTGCCGGTCTGTCTTTGCATGCTTTGGCTATCAATTATCCTTCAGTAGGGGCAAGTTTTCTTTCAACCTAGAGAAACATGATTACCCGCCTGACCCATTCCATTTAGCCCGTTATCCTCCTCAATGCCGTCTACCCTGGTCCTAAGCAAAAAGGGCTCAATCTACTTGCCCCCTTTCTCGACCTGGCCTATATTGAACGCAACATCACCATGATCCACTGGGATGCAATCAACGAGGTTGCCGGTTTTGGACTGGGAAAAGAGTTTTGCGTCAAGGGCCAAAAGTTTGATCTTTGGTCCGCTGGCGTACGCTCCATCGACGCAACGACACATATCAATTTCTTCAACAAGCTCGTCCAGTTCTGGCATGACTACCCCTCTGCATCAGGAAGTGCCTGGCAGGTTGAGTACTTTCCCACCCAGGCCGTCACTGCTATTGCAGATGACTCCACTGCCTATCCTCATCGCCAAATCAATGCCCATGAGTAAGCCTTCTCCCCCCTATTTGCATGTTCATGCGAACCTGGGTACCCATCTAACGTCTGTCTAGAATGTTTACATTTCGCTTTACCGATAGCTCCATCAGTGATAAGGTAGATGACTTTGGGCTTTCCGCCGTCGAGGCCTTCAATGCTACCAGCGGATTCGATGATTTGCACATCTACGTCAGCTATGCACATGGCACGGAAGGATTGGATGCTATGTATGGCGCGGAGAAGCTGCCTCGGTTATTGAAGCTGAAGAAGAAGTGGGATACCAAGGGCATGTTCAGCTATAACAATGGATTGCCTCACTAAGGTTTATTACCTGTTGATAGATAGGGCTGCCGGGGAGTGTTTTTACCTGTCAGGTGAACTTTGTGAAAACTAGATATATATTTTAGCTGTGGCATGTTGATTTAACCAGTTTTTAAAATATACCTCCCAATGTCAAGCATTATGAGTATGAAACGTATCTTGCTCGCACTTTGAATGCAATTGATTATTATATATCGAAATATTTCAATAAGATTTTACAGTCCCCGGTTTGAAAGAAAGTATTTGACTATGTTGAATTTACTATTTGAAATTCTGTTGGCAAGTGATGTGAGTGTTGTGTAGCAGTCAGAGAGTCCCGCTCGATGAATCTCCATCCAATAGACGGAAAGGATCCGGCTATTATTGATCATAACGCGTATCGGAAAAAGTGATTTTGCTTGTCGGTGAGATCGTCAAATGCAATTTTGTCTCGCTGCACCTCATCCACTTCCAATGATTCCCGGATTCGGTTTTCCCGCCGAAGGACGAAATACAACACGACTGCGGCAGCAATTGTGATACAGTAGCTATGCTTCGTTAGATCGGCCCAAGGAAGATAAATCAGATATAGGACGTACCAGATGATCATGCCAGTCCACAATTCTGGATAATGTTGTGATTTAGTGTTGCTTTTCACAAGCTGCGGTCCGATGATATTGCCGACAGTGTAAGCCACAAACACGGTTGCTGCCATAACGGTTTTCTTCGTGGCACCGGCGACGTTGCTAGCTCCAATTGTGATAATCAAGCTGACTACTGGCCCAAAGAAGCCGGTGAGTGCATAGCCAACGACTGGAGTAACTGGATGATATCCCCATTGAGATTTCCAAATCATCACGCAGCCAGCAATGACAGGTAGACAGCAGGTAATGAGCAAGGGTATGCGGGTGTTGGGGACAACCGTAGGGATATATCCACAAAGAGGAATGAAGATGACACAAATGGCGCCAACGGGAAACTGAAATAGAATTGAATGAAGGGTATCATAGCCGAAGGTGGACACAATCAACGGCCCAAAGCCCGAGATAGCACCATTGATAGTGTACCTAGATATAAAGAGGTTAACATCGAGGACTGTATGGTGTCTGATATCATATACCACACAACAAGAGAGAAAACTCACGCTGCCGCCATCATGATAGCCACCAGATAGACCTTAATGTCCATAAAAGACTCTTTGATTTGATCGAACTTGATCTTGTGGCACCGAACACCGGTCTGACCCTTGCGCAGTCTCTCCACAGCAACCCTTCGTTCTTCCGAGGTTAGGAACCAGGCAGAAACTGGAGAATTAGGCATGGTGCAACACCAGAGACCAAACAAAAAGGTCAAGGCACCAGCCAGAATGTAGATATACTGCCATCTTTTCAATGACCCAGCTGTGATTTGACCAAACCCATAGTTTAGCGCGCTACCGATGATAGTAAACCAACCGGTGCCAGAGAACCACCATGCCTGTCGAAGAGTCTGCTCTTCTTGTGTGTACCATCCGCTGACGATGGTCATAAATCCAGTAGGAATAACACTTTCAATGAAACCTATCTCTTATTAGATAAGAGACCAGTAAAGGACATTGGAGATCAACATACCAAGGAAGAATCTTTGCACGAAAAGTCCTTGCCAGGTTGTCACGCCAGCGGTGGCGGCACAGACAATAGCCCATACCAGAACAACTGGACCGAGGACAGTTCGAGTATTGAACCTTTGCAAGATAAATGTCATTGGGTAGAGACCAGCCATCATCCCGAAATAGAAGATTGATGTTGCCCAGCTGAGACGTGAAGTATCAACAGATGGAGGAGAAGTAGAGTAGTCTTTCACTAGCAACCCCAAGTCGGTCGTCATGCCAAAGAGCGTAGCGCTACCTAAGATAGCCTATAGAGAGATTAGGATATGTTGGCTAATAAAGACATCGGTGCAGTCATCGCACCTTGTCATAGTACACCATGCCATAGCCTGTGTTCGAGTTAGTCAACAATTTAGGTCACGGGTATGAAGTGTATGACTAACCTATAAGCATGGCAGGCATCAAATACAGATCAATCTTTCGTAGAACACGTTTTTCCACTATCGGGTCAATTTCTTGGGCGAACTCGCTCACCACCGCCAACGCTGCATCTTTGTCGGATGAGGCATGGGGCGATTCGCCGGTGCTAGTTACGCCATGGACCTGAATCATCTTCTCACACCAGAACGACTCCCCTGAACGTCACAGGGGCCGAAACAGTGATGTATCTTAGTACCTTGGGATATGAGCAATTACCAATTGCGAGACGAGAGAAAATTTGTTTTTTTTTTAGACTTCGTACCTTCCAAATTGGGATGCCCGATATCGCGTGGCTGTATCTTACCGCCTTTAAATTACGAGCAGAATTAGCGATCAAAGCGCGGAGACAATCACTTGCCCAAGCGGTAGGATGGAATACTATCATCAGTGTTCATCACTACGGAGTACTATCATCATTGAGTTGAAGCACTCTTCTAAATGTGCTCTCAATAGAGAAGGAATTTGATGAGACTGATTTCACTGACAATTTCTCGAATCCATGATTGCAAGAGCTTTATTTGAAGAGTCCATGTCCTCTCAAAAAAAAATAAAGTTGAAAAGATCTTCTGCATCCGATCTCGGCTTAGATACAACGTGAGATGAATGATTGCCTATATCTAGTCACGTACCACGACCATGAAGTAGCCGTGCCTGCATACTAACCTGCGTACTATGGAGTGATTGAGTTATTATCCAGACTGACTCTGAAAGCTAAGGGTCTATTCCATACGGCAGTAACCACGTGACTTTATCCAGCCCTTTGACCGCCTTTTTAGTGGGAGCTGAACAAGCCTGGGCCTATGACATCATCAACTTTCAGCCCTGAAGAAGAAGTCTTAGATCGACCAAGCCCCTAAGGCCAATTGGGACCAACAATTCTGGGTCTTTGCCCCCAGAAATTCTTTGCATCGGGGTTTTATCTCAATTCGGAGGAAGTCCAGGGGAAAAAAAGCCACTTCGCAAGCATCATCGATTCATCGACAAGGTGGGTCCACCCAATTGCATCACAGATCGTCTTATTATCGAGTAGAAACTCTTTCTTTCCGACGAAACCCACTAATCTCCCACAGTTTGGTCGATTCTCGGTGGGAGGTATTCCTAGTGACGTACTAGAGGGGTTCCCCTATAAAGCAGACTCAAATATTAACCTACCTGAATGCTCCCTGAATAAATTTCAAATTCCACGAAACTGTATCTTGCGTCAACATTTCCCACAATGACAATCAAATTCACCGTATACAGGGGCTCCGCAGATGGAATCAAACAAGCAGAGACCGAGCGGGAGGACCTCAAGCGAGACGATGTCCTGGTGCGAACCACACATTCAGGAGTGTGCGGCACAGACGTCCATTACCAGTCAGCCAACATGAGTCTTGGTCATGAGGGAACGGGTGTGGTGGAAGCAATTGGTCCAGACGCGAAGTTCTTGAAGAAGGGCGATCGTGTAGGCTGGGGTTATGAACATGACTGCTGTGGTTTCTGTAAACAATGCCTCACTGGCTGGGAGACATTGTGCAGTGAGCGAAAAATGTATGGCCTGGCCAATCTTGATCAGGGGTCTTTCGGCACCCATGCTGTCTGGCGTGAAGCCTTTTTGTTCAAGATTCCCGACAACATGAGCAGCGAGGATGCGGGTCCCTTGATGTGTGGTGGATCAACTGTTTTCAATGCCCTCCATGTCGCGCAGGTTCGTCCGACCGCTCGCGTTGGTATCGTTGGAGTAGGGGGTCTGGGGCATCTGGCTATCCAGTTCGCCGCAAAGATGGGCTGTCAAGTCGTGGTGTTCTCCGGCACAGACAGCAAGAAGGAGGAGGCGACGAAGCTGGGAGCCGGCGAGTTCTATGCGATCAAGGGTGTGAAAGAGTTGAAGATCAAAGCTCCTCTCGATCATCTCATTGTGACGACCAGCAGTCAGCCGGATTGGTCACTCTACCTGAATGTCATGGCCCCCAATGGTGTCATTTCGCCTCTGTCCGTCGATTCAAACGATCTCAAAATCCCATATATGCCGCTGCTCGTGAATGCCCTTCGGATTCAAGGAGGCATCGTGGGTTCGAGACAGGTCCACAGGGATATGCTTGAATTTGCCTCATTCCACAACATCAAGCCTGTCAAGATGACATTCCCTTTGACATTGGATGGCGTCAAAGAAAGCTTGAAGACATTGGAAGAAGGAAAAATGCGTTATCGTGGCGTTTTGGTGGCACCCTAGAATGTTGACATGTGAGCAAAAAAGCCCATTGGGTGCTTCTGATCCAAGTGAATAATTTGGAAGTCCAAGTCTGTATATGAAAGCACAGTCAGAATGTATGAAAATGATTTTGTGTTTATGAATTTGAAGTTGCTCATTCTTGTTCGCGCGTGGTTCGCATGTGTGTAAGGGGGGAGAGTAGAAAGGCGAAAAAAAGGCGAAAGAGCAAAGGTCTCGGACACATAGCAGAGTTCACCGAGAGAAGTAGAACCGCAGGGAGGAGATAACAGAGAGCCCTGGATCTACCGAGATGGTTTGTCTGGGGTTTGTCACCTATTGATACTCAAAAGCCAATGGTAGACTGATGTTTTACCACACATAAGTAGCTCGGAAACGAAACCCACATAGAAATGGGAAGTGCGTGGTTTATATTCAACGGTTGCAAGGTGAGGACCTTGATAGAGGGTGGATGGAGCCATCGACGTCAACCGCTTGGCAACCAATGCGACTTCATGATACCGTCAAACCGATCTACTGTTAGCACCTCATTTTCATGCATCCACTGTACAGCAGGTAGATAATCGCTTGACCAGGCCTTCTGCAATACCCGATCTCCTTCTGGGACCTAGTTTCTTAGCTTGTTATATGTTTGCAAAGCCCTGCTGTCCGTTAATGGTATTAACAACCTCGTTTGTCCTGAAGATTAATCTAATCACATTCGGCCACGATTCTCCGGATATGTTTGGACCGATACGGAAAAGATATTACTGGGTACCTACGGCTATTTTGTTTCCAAGGATGGAGAAAGTATTTCTAAGGAAGCAAAACTCCGCGACGTGGATGGAACTGGCGGGAGAACAACAAAGGGGTATCGTTTACCCGGCTATATGATTTGCCTCTTATCAGGCTCGGCCTCGTCATCAAGACACGAATCACAGTAGAACTAGGGAAAATATTCAGTCATAGAGGACATTGTAGGGGATAACGTTTTGTCGCAATCGCTTGAACGTTTTCTAATAAAACGGTACGCTTTAATATAGATGATTGACTACCCCAACTTGGTGCATTAAAGAATGCACCGGTTTGTGGAGGTGGCGTGAAGTGGCGTCAACAGCCCGGGTATTCGATCATCCTTTTGTTGTATTAATGGAACAATTAATCCCTAACCCCAAGAACGATACAAGCTACCAATTCTGGAATTATGACAGTTTCTTGGCCTCCATGTAAAGCCAATCCATTGGGTATCGCTACGTTATCCCTCGGCAACTGGCGAGAGCATCGTTTAGAACCACGACTGAAAGCCGCGGCGAAATCGGGATATCAATGGATCGATCTGTTTGACGAGTGTTGGGCTGCGTACCTGGAAGAACATGGACTGCCGGGAGACCAACTTTGGGAACCGACTGCAGAGAATCTGCACGTTGCTCGAAAATTGGCTCGTGTTGTCAAATCCTTAGGATTGCGGGTTGCTTGCACCCAACCTCTTCGGAACATCGAGGGAATCAAAGACCCAGTCGAACGCCAGGCTGCCTTCGATCTAGTCGCCAAGTGAGATATATCTTACCTCGATGTCGAAATAGCGACAATGGAGTCACGTAGTTCATACTAACTTACTATCATAGACGATTCCCTTTCATGCGCGCCTTTGACACCGATCTTGTCTTTATGTGTGCGAATGTCCGCACCGATGAGGGAGTGACATCTGATCTCAAGAGGGTCGCGAGGGACCTCGCAGAACTGGGCGACATGGCGGCTGCTTACGCGAGGGCTGATGGTGGGCGCATGTTAAAAATTGGGTACGAGGGCTTATCTTGGGCAACTCGAAATACATGGTCGGCCTCATGGGAAGCCGTACGATTTGCCAACCGCCCTAACGTTGGCCTGATCGTGGATGCCTTCAATATCCTCGCCGTCGAGTTTGCTGATCCGTACAATGTTGCTGGCCACGGGCGGATCTACCCAACCTTGGAGGAATCTCTGGATATTCTTACCGGATCACTCGCGTCATTAGTGTCGACGGTACCAGGTGATCGGATCTTCTTCTTCCAATGCGGCGATGCGGAGTTGATGAACCCAACAACTTTCCTCCCTCCAACAGACCCGGAAACACCAGCACTGCTCCCATGGTCGCGAAGTCATCGGCTATATCCTCTTGAGAAGTCTAGAGGTGCGTATATGCCGGTTGAGCTTGTCACAGCTGCTGTGCTTGCCACCGGGTACCTAGGTCCAGTCTCGCTTGAGGTGTTTAATGCATCACTGAACCAACCAGGAGAAATGGTTCCGGCAGAACATGCTTCCAGGGGAATCAATGGTCTTCGCCTCTTGTGTGAAACTGCAAAGTCCATTCCAGCTTTTTGGCAAAGCCACGGGGAACGTAAGAATGCTATCGCACAAGTAGTGCGTCGGCTCCAGTCAGATGAAGACAAGCATAAACTATGAAGGACATGTATATTTTGATCATAGTTACCCAATCTGAAAGTAATCAAGTGTATGTATGAATTGGACTTGAGAGCCCTCTCTCGTTCTAGTATCACTGTTATGTCTAATGTCGACTACTTGTGTGGTAAGTACATAGCAGTACATAGCAATCATTTTTTTTTTTTTTTTTCATTCAATCTTTCTTAGTTTATATTTGAAGAAATCAATTGCTAGTTGCTACACCTGGGCATTCCCTCAACTGGAGCTCGGCGCCTCCCGCAAGGTCCCCCTCATCGGATCTGCCCCGCATGATCACCTCATATTAATCAGCTTGACGTTGACAACCCCCGCCATTTCCAAAACCTCAACTTTTCATATCTCTCTCTTCTCTTCTCTTCTCTTCTCTTAATATCCACATTCATCTCAATATGACTACACTCAAGTCCGGCGATTCGTTCCCTAGCGACGTGGTCTTCCAGTATGTAAAACCCCAACCCCCGCAAAGCATGACACTGATTCCTCTTCAGGTACATTCCATGGAACGAGGAAAGTGGTGAAATCACCTCCTGCGGCATCCCCATCAACTACAATGCCTCACAGGAGTGGGCCAACAAGAAGGTTGTCTTGTTCTCCGTTCCCGGTAAGTTTACGTCAATGTCATCCTCCAGCTAAAGGCAGAATGCTAACGTGTAAACCAAGGTGCCTTCACTCCCACCTGTTCCGTCAACCACGTGCCAGGATATATCCAGAACCTGCCCAAGCTCCGCGAGAAGGGAGCTGACATTGTCGCCGTCGTTGCTTTCAACGATCCATACGTGATGAGTGCCTGGGGCAAGGCGAATGGAGTTCGCGGGGATGACATCGTGAGCACAACCCCAACTTTCCGCGTTTCTGCGACTAGTATTGACTGTATTGACTTATATGAATAGCTTTTCCTCTCGGATCCCGATGCCAAGTTTTCCAAGAACATTGGCTGGGCCGATGAGGCGTCTGGCCGTACAGGCCGTTATGCGATCGTTATCGATCACGGTAAGGTCAGCTATGCCCAAATCGAGACCGAGAAGGGTGTTGTCAAGGTATGGAATTTCATCCTTAATTTTTGCTCCGTCTGGTGGCTAACAGCTCAATTTGTCTATAGAAATCTGGCGCCGATGCGGTTCTTGCTTCCCTTTAAACACACGAACTATAGAATACCCCATGATCATTCTAAACTCAATTCCAAATGTCATTTAGAAACATGTTCCTTTGTCAAATACATGTTCTCCTACGGAGGTATACAAGGTGTAGCTTCAATCACTATATATCTACTAAGGTCTGAATAAGTGTACTTCGTTAAGAATGATTCGATTCCATAATATCTGTCCCGAACTTGAATTGAAAATGAAGACTGGGAGGTCTATTCAATCATCTAAAAATTCCAAATCTAGCGAGAAACAATTGCGAGGAAGCAAAAGATAAATCTATATAATGCAAAGCGTTCAGGTGGTATCGTCAAATAAAATGCTGGGAAATGCAAGCCCGAAGGTTGCTAACAATGGGAAGAGTCAAGTATGCGACAGAACACGGTCGTGAAGATGCAACTCCAACCCAGCATTGACACAGTCTATATGCAAAGGTTCGGCAGCTTGATATATTTTGTCCTTGATCACAGCTTCAAGTACATCAGGTCCAGAGCTAGCAACCTGATCATCGTCATCCGACGGGACGTTTTGGAACGCACCCTCGATATCGACACGCTTGAGTTTAGGGAAACGAGTCCGGCGACTTTTAATCACGGGTTGTAATTGGGAAACCAACATTCCCAGATATCGCTCCTCACATGCTTCAATGTAAAGAGTCTCAAGCGACGATGGGAGACATTCCATGAGAGGTGTGGTCGGTTCGTTCTGGTATCGAATATCCAACAGATTTGGCAGTCTCACGCGCACTTCTTTCAAGGCAGTGAAATCAACAAGGGAACCAAACCACTCGTCGTGGGATTGGTTCAGCCCAGCAGCGGTGAACGGATAGTGGCTGCCATAGTGGTCCAGCCAGAGTGTTTGCAGGCTCTTTTTGCTATGGGTCAGAGAGCGATAGAAGGCGGATGGTTGGTAGCCATGCGAAAGGACATGCGAGTCCGAGTGCTGGTATTTAAATGACTTCAAGTCGGCGCATGAGCTAACCAACTTCTCCATGCCATGGTTCCCACTACTTGCACGCAAATCGATATCGGTGATCGAGGAGAAGCCAAGGCGAGGCTTCTCATCATCTGTTAGTTCCTCAGAGAGGGGAGTGGTGGAGCTAGGGTCCACTACGGAGTTGGCTGTGATAGCACGAACAGATGGCAGTTGGAAAAATGGTAGGAGCAATGTTGATGATAGTTGAGTTTCAGCTCCGGCATCATCCAGGTGCTCGCTGTGATCGAGATCTTCCCGATGATGCAACGAGACCTCACGTAGGTGTCGGAAGGCTGGTTGGACGGGAAATGGCTGTTTGCAATCCACGGCCCTTTGCATGATCCAGTCCAAATATGGAGAGTTTGTCGTATAGGCCAGTGAAAGGGTTCTGAGCTGACTCAACAATGGGAGAATGAGTGCAACCCAGGCGTCAGCAATGCCTTGTTCGAGGTGCTGGGCCCATTGATCACTTTCGAGCATTGAGCATGATACATCATCCAGCCATGCTCTCAAAGATGTCGATGTCTGAATTTGGTTACAGTCATCGTCCGATACGCTTTTCGCATGCCAGTCTGTTAGGTCTAGCTCCCGAACGGCCCGCGCCAGCGCAGGTCGTTCCAGTATGGCATGCAGGAACGAACTGGCATCTTGCCAATGGTTGATAGACACCTTTCGATATACTAGTGGGAGGAAAAGATCATGAAAGTGACGGGAGACTAATATGAGGTTTCGTCGGTCTTCTTTCTGTTCGAGTTGCTCTCCTATCAAGAGAAGTACGTCATTGGGCAGCGCCAGCTCCATGGTAGCACATTCGAATCAACAAATTAAGCTTAACAATGATAAGTGTAGATGGAAAATCGCGGGGAAATAGTGAAAGAAAAGAACGAGATCGAGTACTATTTAAAATGCAATTTCTATTATCGCAGATTTGGCCACCGCTGAAGATCAAACTTTGATCCGACGTGGCCAATGTTGGGGCGCCATATCCCCCGGTGGATCTATATCCGGACACTCTGAGAGGCTGCAAATTGTTCGTTTCCACTTTTGAAGGAAAATTTCAACGTCTTAAACCCGAGACAATTGCGTTTGTCTGGAGGTTTTCCGCTTTCTCGGATTTTATTTCCGACTATATTCATAAATATGAAAAGGAATGATTGTATCCAGTTCTCTACGGAATCTCCCGAACTTCATGTGGATAGGTGGGGGTGTTTAGGCCTGAGGGGCAGAGATTGACAGTTGAAGAGCCACTTAGGTGCATGTGCAAGTTATTGCGACGATACTCCGTAGTGAATATGGTGCCCGAGAGTCGTAGAGTCATGTCGTTATCTGGTACAGACAGTTCTTCACATCGCTTCAAAGTGATAAAATTCTGCCGAGCATAGCAACAACGAAGATATTAAATGGATATCGAGCAGCATGGGAATACAAAAACTGACGATAACGAAGGTGGATCAGCTTGGGTGGGCTTGCGGGGGGTGAGAGTGGAGCGAGGAGCTGGAGATCGACCTGAGACATGGGAAAATGTTGGACTTGAATGAATCCCAGAATCTCTCAGACTAGACAATGTTAGTGACAAATTTCGCGCGCAATTACTATCGACACACGATGTCCGGTGCACTTCACTGGCTTTGTTGATCAACGGACCATCTTGTCAAGATTTCAACGTTAATATCCGCTCCCGCGGATGCCGCCAGTTTCATCAATGACCATCCAACCTAGGCACGTGGCTTCGACCGGTGTACTATGAGTCTATATAGCAACCGTAGTAGAAATACTGCGCACTCGTACCCCTTCGTCAAAGTCGCCCCAACAAAAGGCTTTAGATTGACCCCAATCTCTTTTCAGCGACAAAAGTACATCATCTTGATACTTAGACCTCGAGGGAACTATTCCATTCGGAAATTCATTGTGAAAATATAGCACAGATGATATATTCATCCCTCCAAAATGGAATATAGTCATTGCCTTAGTACAATGAAATGGGGGAGATAGATGTCCGTCGTAGAGTCGAGGCCACATCGGGAATTATATGGAAATTATAAGCTCAGAATACAACAGAGCAGGCTTTGCAGTCAATTCAACCTGGTGGCAGCACCTGCAGCTGCGGTTGTAGCCGATGTGTCTTGGATATCTATAAACCACAATTGGAGAGCAGTAGTCAAAACGACGATCTCCCAATTTTCTCCCATGGTACCAGTCAAACCAGCGCCCATAAAGGCGAATCAAAACCCTTTGGTCATGCTCCAAGAAGCGTTGTGTGCGATGAGAGCCACAATCTCTAATCCATCGCTTGTATAACCCCGGGCGCGCTCCTTTCTGCTCCCGGCTACATTGTTCACCGGTCCTGTCAACCGCACCAATTTCCATCCATATGAAAAACCGACAGGTTCTTTGATTTCGTTGCCATGGCTGTTACGCCACTCAAACCTCCCCCGTGCTGTTCCTTTTGGACCCACGGATATTTCGAACATGTGGCTAGGTGAAAAGTGCTTCAACGGTCCGCCGGGAACGACCTGTTCCACGGTGGAGTCTTGATGCTGAGACCCTGGACGAAGTGGGAGTGTGATAACGACGGGTCTGCTCCTTCCCCATCTGTCACTCTGAGCCATTGCCATTAATGGGTGCTTGTTAGTTGGACCATCGTGTAACATGATGGTAGTTTTGTTATTGAAGACAACCGCGTATAGCTTTTCGTCCGCGGTCGGCCCAAGATGAAATGTGGTTGTAAGTTTCCATTGAAAGTATCCGTTCATGGCAGATGGTAATTTGGCCGTTGCTGATGTGCTGATATCTTCACATGCAGTATAGGATGGTATCTCATATTGGGGCGTTTGAGCCGCAGACTGCGGGTCGTACTCTGTGTAAGGTGGTGGTAAGCCGTCGAGTGGATCACTTGGGGTTGAAAGAGATGAGAGATGGTAAATTGGTCGCTGTGCCCTTTATATGAAATTAGCGGAGAGAAGGAAGGGAAGGGGGAAATGAAGAAATTGAGAATTCGCGGGATGTAGCCCCCCCCCACACACACATTTTGACCCCCAACGCCACAGGCGTCAGACTTCCCGATATTGTTCCATCACTTGTTAAATCGTGAGATTTATTTCCTCTATATATTAGCGACGGGGTTAGGGAGAGTACCAGAAAATAGTGTCTCTTACACTGATCCTATGCTACCTGACCGTTAGCTTCAACTCGACGTTTTCTTGCATCCTGTTGCGTTTGTAAGGGGAAAGAGACAGGGCTATTCATTATTCATCTTAGAGACAGAATGTGTAAAAAATGTAAAAAATTGCTTTGTGACGGAGATTTGGACTTAATAGAACTCCCACATGCACCTGATATATTTACCTGGAAGCATTGACCCAGAAGCATCATGGCATTTTGCGGGGCATGCAACCCTAGTATCTCCATCTCGTAGAAATGTTACAATAATATATTTCGATATATTGGGACCACGGCACCGCTGGTCGGATGTCGTATTTGACCCCAAAAGTTAATAGGATGCCCTATAGCTCATTCCTTGAAAACTGATCTACACAAGAAATATCCGACCTAGGATAAAGCAAGGGCTGGTTCCCAAGGTTACATCAGACGTCTGGGATCCGAACAAATAATTGGCTTCATGGATATTGTAACTATTGTAGTCACTTGTGAAGCTAAGGATCAAACTATGGGTGAGTGGGATCTACTGGCATACAAAGGGTTGGAATAAGGCATTTACAATACAGTGTATTTCTTTTGTACTTATGAGACCAGCCCTGGAGGCACAGATGGATTATTTACTGTTCCTGCAACTCTTCATGTCAGGTAACACCCATTTAACCATCCACTCGGATTCCAGAACCTCCTCGATTGTTGGTCGTTCTTCCGGTTGAAATGTCAGCATCCGACGGATGAGATCGAGAATAGCCTGTTTTTCCTCCTCTCCAAATACCCCCCTTTGGAGCTTTCGTCGATAGTCCTGCACACCTCGCTCAAACGCCTGTTCAAGCTCGGGCCATATCTCCCGCCCTTCCGTTGGATGTCCATCTTGATCAAAGAATTCTCCACGTTCCTCCCAGCGATCCCACCAACTCCTAGGCATCGGCCCTAGCACGTCGATATGCTGGGAGACCATCTCATCCTCTGTAATATATTCATTACTAAATATTGCCTTCATGCCCAATATCTCCCAAATTGCCACTGCCAGACTCCAGATATCCGCCGAGTATAAGAGAGGGGCCCGCGGTTCGAATCTAGCTTCTGGAGGCCGTACTGCAAGTGGTGCGTGACAGTCCTCTCCTCGGCGAATTTCTGATGACGGGGAATATGACTCGCCAAAATCGCTGAGGAGTACTTGTGCATCATTCAGTTTGAACTCATCCGCGTCCATGCCCAGGTACAGCGGAATTACTGCTTTTGGTGGAACGTTCGGTGGGAGCGGCTTTCCGTTTCGGAGCGTAATGGGGACGGTCTCTGGTTCGCCATATTTCTCGTAAAACTGTTTGACGGATAGATGGTTGAAGCTGGATGGAAGTTTGACCAAAATATTGCGGAGGTGGATATCTGTCACAACATATTAGCTACAATATCAAGAACCAAAGGATAGCAACAAACCTCCATGAACGTATCCACATGAATGCATATGGGAGACAGCCATCGCCACTCCACCGACTAACGCTCGTGCGACATCGAGGGGAAACAAACAGCTAAACGACACCTCTCTCAGATTGCATCGTGCAGGAACCATCGTGTAGCATGTATGAGCCCCATTAAGTCCACGAACCTCGAATTCATCCAGAGGAGATGGAATCGCATCGTGACCGGGATGTACAGATGAAGCAGAGAGAGTTCGGAGACACTTCATCTCCTGGGAGAGTGAATTTGCAATCCCAACCTTGACGGCGACATAATCATCCTGGTATCTGTCCTGCGCAAGCCAAACAGTTGAATAACCCCCAAAGCCCAGCTTGTCCACGATGCGGTAGCGGTCATGGAGCACATCGCCAATCATGATTGGATGGTAGCCTTCGGGCTTGTATTTTTCAAGGTGTTCAGCGCCATTGATCCAGTTGTACTCAAAGGGATGGTCATCTGCATCGTCCTGGCAGCGCGACATTGCCGTGGAGCTGAAGCTTAACTGGGGAAGCGAACCAAGTTTAAGCTTCCAAAAGCGACAGGCAGATGATAATGGAGTTGAGTGCTGAAAGTGTTTTGAGAAAAAACAAGGATTGGGAGGAGTGGTTATTCTGATGTATCGCACCATGATAATAGCATCTGTTGGTTGTCGCCTGGTTGTTGGTTCAGGATTAACGGTTCTATATATCCCGTTTGGTTTGTTGTGATATTCCGCGAATCTACTGCTTGGTGGACCTATTATTGAGCTCGTCATAACATAAACTTGATTACGTAAATTTTCGACGCATCTCTCCTATATAATATTATTTATAAACCTCTGGGCTTTCTCCTTCAAAGTTGGGCCAGCGTATATCTGATGATGCCTTTCGTTTCATGAACTATGAGAACTCTCGCATCAAAGATGTACGTCAGCAAAACGCTACGTTTCCACGAAGCGTGTATATATCGCAGACTCAAGCTACTCTGCGAAAAGACCACAATTTTTGCACCAAAAGCCACACACAATCGTGTCCTTTTCGTCGTCACCCACATTTACTCCGTATTGAGCTAGCAGCTACCATGGCCTTACCTCAGCGGTTTCTCGGAGTATTGCTTGACGGCTTTGAGTACATGTATACTTTTTCTGTCACAATTCGTTCCGGAGTATCTATTTCTAGTGGGGAGAGCGCTCAACACCAGCCTTTACTGGACAAGGAACCACAACTCTCACGTAAGATAAATGTGCCACTGTCAGCGTGATCGCCAAAGTGCAGCCTTGTAAAGCTTGTGAAATCTAAAGAGCCATAAAAAATTCAGGTTAGGCCTACTCTTGTTAATCCGTACTCTCTTAATAAAGGATTGCTCGTGCAAGTGACCAGGTCTTCCAGGACAAAAGAAGCAATGGTAAAGATGGAGCTAGAGGAGTGCCGTAGGTACTCCGTATAGTGGCGTCAATTATGTGCTAGGCCTAGGGCACGACCCCAGATGAAGCTAGCAAATTTCAGGGGAAGATTTAAGCGGTTGGTTAAACACATTTTGACGGACCGGTTGTTCACAATCTGGACTGCATGGACTTTCAGCCTCGGAGCAACATTGTAAGTTGCAAATAATATGACGGATCACATTTTAGTACCGGCTAGTAAGCGAGCCGGAATCAGTTGCGAGGGGCACAAGGCGGGAAATGACACTAACAAGCATACACCTCAGGCTGTTATTTTATTTGATCTTTTCGATTCGGCAGGGGAAACTACTTACACCATATTTTGAGACTAGGAGTGCTAGGCATTTCGGTGCGTTTATCACCTGGTAAGAGGGGGAAAGAGGCAGGTGAAATTGAGGACGGCGGTAGTAGGATAAAGAAAACGAGTTTTAACGACTTAATCTTGGTGGTCAGCAATTGACGTGAGAAAAGAGCCCCTTTGTTTCCGGCTTTTACTCCGAGAGCCAAAGTCTGGTGTAATTTTTGAACCTGGTAAGCGTAGCCTTGATGGCCTGCTTGGCGCCTTAATTTGCGGCTTCGCAGGGTGCGCACTCAATCCTCCAGCCCCAACCGCAATGTGGCGCTTTACAGGTGTGCCAAGAGACTGGCGATAGACCTGGGGTTTGGCCGAGCCCCTGTGTAGAATTGGCCTAAGGGTGGTGCACCAGTCAGTTAGAATGGGAATTTGCTTCCAGAGTGTCGTGTGTTAGTCAGGTCGTACCATGGACGTGACTGTTTCTTGGTCTGACAAACAGGCCCCGAGGACGTTGTCTCATGGATGTGCCGTGTTACCGAATCATAACGGGAGAGGCGTGTTGCCAAGGAGAACTGACCGCCATCTGTCTCGCGATGGCGTCCATGGGTCCTAGGTAATTCAAGACTCTCGCAAGCCAAGATTGCAACTTCGACATTAACACAGAACGGCTGTCGACCCTCATTATGATTATGTTTGGTGGTTGATTCTCTGATGGTGCAAAATTTGGTTTGTATTTTACCTGTTCTGTGTTTCGTGGATAAAGGAGGGGGAACCAGCCAGGGACGTCCCTTCCACCAAGACCCTTGAACAAAATAGGCAAATGTCCGACATGTGATGATACCATGTGGCTTGAGGCGACACATGAAGTTACATACACTAGGGGGCTGGCCAGCATCTGACCACAAACTAATTTGATATTCAGCTGGTGATTGGTGACTTGATAGCTTTGAAGGTTCCAATACTGGCTTTGGCAGGGTAATATTGAAATGGAAAAGCCGTATTTTCTTAGTGTGTACTATAGCGTTTTTCTAAGTTTTTCTAGGTTCTCCGTACGGGGTCTCCCAACGGAGTACTCAACATTATACATCCGTTTATAGTAGCGATGCAACTATAATGCAGGTATTCCGGGGAACCCCAGATACGCCTTTCCCCCGCATCTCCACACCTCCGCGTTTGCCTTTAATGATTTTTGGGTTGCGCCCTTACCCATTTGGGCGTTTTACTGTTTTACTGTTTTATGGTTTTGTATTTTCTCAGTTTTGCTTCTTTTAAATTCCTCATTACTTCTTGTTTCTTTCCTTTTTCTTTCTTCTTTCTTCCTCCATCTCTCGTCTGACTTCCTTGCGGAACTTCATCATGGGTTACAAGATAACTAACATCTATGTCATCACCATGGTGGCCGTCATTGGCGGCGCACTATTCGGTTTTGATATTGCCTCTATGTCTGCCATGTAAGACTTCTCGTTCCTTAATGAGGTCAAGGTGAGGGATTATGATCGCTGACTATCTCTCACAGTCTTGGCACCCAGCAGTACAAGTGTTTCTTCAACCAAACTGGCACCAACTCGCAGGGGTTATGTGGTGGCCCTACCTCTGCCAATCAGGGTGGTATCTCAGCAGCCATGCCTGGTGGTTCCTGGGTTGGTGCTCTAGCTTCCGGTTTCGTGACCGACTATCTGGGTCGCCGTGGGGCCATCCGGTCTGGCTCGGTGATCTGGTGCATTGGTAGTGCCATCGTGTGTTCATCTTATGGAATAGCCCAGCTTGTCGTTGGCCGCTTCATCAACGGCCTTTCCGTCGGTATCCTCAGCGCCCAAGTCCCCGTCTATGTCGCCGAGTTAGCCCAGCCCAGTAAACGTGGCCAGGTCGTTGGAGCACAACAGTGGGCGATTACATGGGGTATCTTGATCATGTTCTACGTCTCATATGGCTGTAGTTTCATCAAAGGCCCCCTGCTTGGCGCACTCCATGGGGTTTGCAGATGGTTCCCGCCGTGCTGCTTTTCGGATTGGTCTTCTTGTTGCCGGAGAGTCCACGTTGGTTGGCCAAGAAGAATCGCTGGGACGAGGCTCACGAGGTTTTGGCTTCGGTCCATGCCAAAGGTGACCGAAATGCGCCCTTCGTGCAGGCAGAGCTACAAGAGATCCGTGAAATGGTCGAGTTTGAGCGCCAAAACAGCGATGCCACATACCTCGACCTTTTCAAGGGTCCCATGCTCTACCGAACCCACCTCGGTATGTTCACTCAGATTTGGTCGCAGCTTACTGGTATGAACGTCATGATGCTTTACATTACCTACGTCTTTGGTATGGCTGGGCTCACTGGAAACTCGAACCTTGTCGCATCCTCGATTCAGTACGTCATCAACGTGGTGATGACCATTCTAGCTTTGCTCTTCATTGATCGTTGGGGCCGCCGAACTCCCCTTTTGGTTGGTTCTACCCTCATGATGGTGTTCATGTTCGCCAACGCAGGAATAATGGCATCGTACGGCAGGCCAGCTCCACCGGGTGGTCTCAACCATACACCCGAACAGTCGTGGGATCTCTCCCACGCCCCCAAGGCTGCCAAGGGAGTGATCGCTTGCACGTATCTTTTCGTTGCCAGTTTCGCCCCAACCTGGGGTCCTGTCAGCTGGATCTACCCCCCTGAGCTCTACCCCCTTCGACTGCGTGGTAAGGCTGTCGCACTTTCGACATCGTCTAACTGGATCTTTAACTTTGCCCTATCCTACTTTGTCCCTCCCGCTTTTGAGAACATCAAATGGAAGGTTTATCTGGTCTTTGGGGTCTTTTGCTTCGCAATGACTGTTCATGTTTTCTTTGCCTTCCCTGAAACTGCTGGCAAAACCCTGGAGGAGGTCGAAACCATGTTTACCACCCCTGGTCTTACCCCCTGGAAGACCACTGTGCAGTACCATCATGTTCGCAGGCTAGAGCAGGGAGCGATTCAGTCAGACAAGACCGCCGATATTCACGCAGAGGAAGGAACCGCCCAAGGTCCCAAGTCCAGCGAGAAAGAGACCACTGTTTCGCAGATTGAATAGGTACTCGGTATCTATACCACGGTACAGCTAGAACCAGAGCTAGTACTTTGCCATTCAATGCGCCTTTTCCATTGCTTATGTGACCCCATGATTTACCATTAGGATGGATTGCTTTTTATCTTCCCCAGTTGTTGGGCTATTACCCCTCGATTTCCTAATCACAGCTTAACCACGAAATATCAATGGGGCCCCAATCCCTCTTGCTTTTGATTGTACTCAAATTGTAATTTGTATAAATCAGATGGATTAATCGTAGTCTCCAATACCATATTCCCAAGCCATTGTAAACCATGTTCCACTAGCGGTTTCTTGCTTTTGGTTTCAGTTTGTACTCTTATCCTACATCAGGAGTTTTGCTCGCAGGTTGCTGGTATGTCACTAGGTTACCCGATCGTGGCAATAGCCTGGAAGCATTTACCAGTAATTGATACTGGGTTAAGGGTTATAGGGGCGTACCATAGTAGCGCAAACAAAGCAAAGAGCCATGGCGTAGTCAATCTTGGTCAATGGATGTCATCCAGGGTCATCTCCTCCAGCTTTTAAGCAGTTGAGATAGATGATGGATGGGTAGACGTAAATAATGCCGCGGTCAAAAAACATGGCGATGAGGTTATTTGTAATTCCTAGGGATTGTTCTTTGTACCACCTTTGTCTATCGGATGTCTAACATCAAGTAATATCAAAGTCACGTCTTCTTTTTTAAGAAAAAATATATATACGGGGCGATTTGACCATAAGCGGTTAGAAGCACAAAGCCTGCTGTGGATACTATCGCATTTACTCGTCATCATCCAAACCAGGGCAATGCTCGCTGGTCTTTGCCGTTATTTCCTTGTAAGGACCTGGGAGGGTCCAGATAATATCGAAACTATATGAATGTTAGAGAAGATCGAGCGAAAACTATGACACGAGGGTTGAGGACTAACCTATCGTCCGGATAAGATGGTGCATCCTTGACTCCCAAGGTTTCCGCAATATCCGTCAGTGCATCGTGCTCCCAGCAAATCAGTATATTGGCTAAGCCCTTTCCATCGTATCCATCAACCACATCCTTGACACAATCTGGGTCATCCCGACCGCAAGACGTATCAACAGTGAGGCCGAGATCTTTAGCGAGTGGCTCAACGGTGTCATGGGGACGGGCGCGTTTACCATCTGTCCCGTTCACATTAGCCCCCAGTCTAGTCTATGATAATGTGCACCGAAGCCGCACGGGGACAGGATGTGATCATACTGCTCTTGGGCGTCTGCGCCATAATGTGGGTAATGTTGTACTCAGAATTCTTGCCGAAAACTTCGCGAAGGCATTGTGCACGCTCGAGCCCTTGTGAATTCAGTCCATTTCCTCCATCACTGGGTTTCTCTCCGTGTCGAATGAGGTAGACTGTGGGATCGCGTGCTGTTGCAAGAGAAGCAATAGCTAGTATACCGTAAGGCAAAAATCCGAACATGATGCTGAATTACTTGGAAATGGTATAAAGAGGGATATTTACCTCGCAGTAACCTTGGGAGCAACACACTTATATATAAGACACCTAGGTAACTACCTAGGTACCTAGGTACATAGTCTAACCCCCACCTGGGCACGCTATAATAATAGCACTTGGCCAACCATTTTCGTGATCGGCAACCCATGAAACGTTCCTGGGTTTTGATTGGCTGGTCATTGGGACTAGACCTTATGGGGGAAATAGCCCCACATGGCCCCGGATCTGAGCCAATACAATATACTCGGACAGTCAGACTGTCAGAGTAGCATTGAACTGATAGTTAGTTGCTTCACTTACTGCAAGTGGAAACTCCTATTTTCCGTATTGTATCTTGCATATCTTGCATTCCTTCAATGAAAAGATAAGCAACATCATCCCGAAATAGACATCATAGTCCACCCCGCGATTCCCACCTCTCCCAGTTTCCTCCGAAAGCTGCACGGTTCCAAACTAAGGAAATGGGTGAATATATATACCTCTACCATATCTGTTAACATCCGGTTGTGGTAACCCTTTTTTATTTGAGCATGTGAATGGAGGGTTTCTGAAAAGTTTCATGTTCTCCTCACTGATTGCACTGTTGGTCCCCACGTAGAGTAAGTACCTGGCACGCAAAAAAGCTTTACAGAACACACAAGCTGAAGAGACATGGTAAGGTACACCCGGGAATTAGACATATGTGCTCTCTTGCCAAACTGAATGGGACTCGATTATATACAAACACTATATTACGGCAGCCAAGAGTAGATAGATCCAGCAGTGACGCTTGGTAGGTACAACCAAAACAGGATCTGCCGGTAGAGTTAAGTTAGTGCACCACTTATATTGTGGAGATGAACAATAATACCGATGTACTATCTTATTGCTAGGTCGTGAAATTCCGAGTAGAACAGAATAATTACAAATGTACTAAACGTCTTGCGGAATATGGTTCTGGAAAGGTTGTACATAGTGGCTCACCGTGGGGACCAGGTGTTGGAGCATCATCCCAAATATGTTTGCTTGTTTGCTTGATTGCTTGCTTGCTACAGACTGAGCCTTTGTTTAGATGGTTTTACCAGGGTATATAAACCCCTGGATTTCTAGTTACAATCGATTATGATTCTTCGTCTGCTTTCTCCCCACCCCACCCCAGTATTTACTACAACAACTCTAATTAATTAGTCCATCGGCGATTTTCACTTTTTCCTGAACGCAGTCTCAAAGCAAATATTAAATGATATTATCCTTGTCTCCGAAGCGAAGGCAAACACACTGGTTGGAAGCCCCCAAGTTAATCTAGTCTATGCGCTCGCCTTCGTACGGAGCTGCTCTCCATACTTGTAAAAGAGGACAGGCGCTGGAACGAACGCCAACGCTATGAACCCCAACAAGGAATTTCCCCATCCATAGTTCAGACTGCTATACATCGCGGGCCCGGCAAGTGGCAAGAATGTGCTGGAAATGTACCGAAGTAGGTTGTTGGCTCCCAAGGCTGATGCCGCGGCCTCAGACCCGAAGACATCGATCAGGTACAGTTGTGCAGGTGTCTAAATTGAAACATATTAGCAACAAAAATTGAGGCTGTGGCCATCAAGTAGAGAAAGCTTACAATAACGAAGAACGCACCAAAGCCCATCAAACTTGTGCCAAGAATGGGAACGAACCAATGGACTTTGTAGTATGCCGTCCAGCCATAGAGGAACAACCCTCCGGCCACGAACGGACTAAACCAGATCATGAGAAGAAGACGATACTCAGGGCGGGGTTGGTGCACGCCGTCAGCTTTCATGCGTGCCGCCTGAACACGACCGTTCAGCAAGTTGAAAAGCACCATGCTAATCACTAGCGCCACACCGAGTCCGAGATACGTGAGCCCCGAAATGGAGGTCGAGAACCCGTACTGGCCCTCGAAGACAGTGGTAAATGTAGTGAAAAGCAAATACATCACACCAAACACCAGTGCCACGTAAAGGGAGATCACGAAGAGAATGGGCGACCGCACAAGAAGCATTATCGGACGGACCAGTACCTGTAGGAGGACTTGGCGGGGCGACAAGGTGCTGTCTAATTTCGAGCGCCAATTGGAATTGCCCGTACTAGCACGAAGATAAGCGGCCTTCCGCTCTAGTAGTACCTTGGGGTGTGTTTCTCGCAGAACAAGCACAGAAGTGCACCCGAAAAATACGCCTAGAATGGCAAGAAGCCAAAATGTCCAACGCCAGCCCTTACCAGCTGCCACAAAGCCCCCAATTACGGGACCGAGCACCTAAATGAGCGAGATTAGTTTTGCTTTAGACTTAGCAGACCGAAGATGACACTTACTGGCCCCGCAAGTGGACCCATACTAAACAATGCCATAGCGACCGCCCGTTGCTGCACGCTAGTAATGTCCGCAATAGTTCCCCCGCCCAATGCCATTGGAGTGCCGCCTGCACATCCCGAGATAAATCGAAAGACCATGAATTGGGCTGTAGTCTTACTTAAAGCGTTACCAATAATAAAGGCGACAAATATGCTCGTGGCAGCGTGGTACACGGGCACCCGGCCGTACATCTCACTCAATGGTGACATGAACATAGGGCCAATAGCAAGGCCGAGAACATAGAGCGTTACAGTGAGCGTGCTGACAACTGTAGAAGTGATGTGGAGATCGGCGGCGATATCCTTTGCCCCGGGTGCACACATTGTGGGGGCCATGTTGCTTTTCAATAATAAGTAAGCAATTGTCATATAAGGCAAATAAGAACTGTTGGATATAGGGGGTAAGAGACAAGGGCATAGAAAGCACGGCATACAGTCGCTTCGATCTACGAGGAAGTAGGCACGGAGTACTGAAACATACGTAATCAAGGCCAATATCGAAATGATAACAACGTGCCCCCATCTTTTGCGTGATGACCAGTTTCGAGGATTCCCACGGTCCTCAGGTCCGTCCCAGTCGATGATCATAGAGTCGTCCTTCTTTTCTAGACCAACCTCCAGTTGGCTTGGGGCGATGTCGGTGGAGCTTAGGGTGGAAGACATCCTTACGACAAGGTGTGAAATAATGTCAAAATAAAATGCTATCTGTAAGTCTCTTTGGCGTTTCTGTGCTATTTAAATTCATTTTGAGCCGAGTGATTGATTTCCCCTATGGGTTTCTTTCAGGTGGATTACGGAAATAGGAGCTTCGAAATGGAAGGAAGATGCATGTGTTGGCTTTATCGGGTCCGGACATGGCGCTCCGATGCTATCAGGGGGTTAGGAATGGAAGAAACGGAGAGATACCCCAAAATGTTAAGGCATATCGAGAGAGAGAGATGCCGTCGTGGGTCTACATCGATCTCAGACGCACGGACCGGACCGGACGATCGGAGGGTCGGAGGGTCGGAGGGTCGAAGTACGGCAGAGTACAGCCGCCAGTGCGCCATATCGTATTTTACCAGCAGAACATTTCCATAAAACCAGTGTATGAGCATTTTATTGACTATAGAAATTGATAGAGGTTATTAGTGTAGAAATTGACCCTATAGAAGTTGATATAGAAGGCGGTCAAAATTTAATATGGTATGTCGCACTGGCCACTATACGTTACCGTAGGTCGGATCCTCGGAGATCAGCTGACTTCCCGGACTTTGTTCGGTTTTCCGTTGAGACAAGCTTCGTGTTTGACAACATTAGCTTAGCCTATTCAATTTGCGTGATCGTGACCACCGCCTACGAAAGTTGAGTATATTGGACGCTGTAGAGACCATCTGACAGTATCACAGAACAATTCGGGGATTATTGTGATGTCAAACACCAATCCAACACCTTCAATGGAACCAGAGGCAGTGCTTCCCGAAGCCGATTCTAGATCACATCCTCGACCAAAGCCAAGTCGGCAACGGGACAAGCTGCAACTGTCATGTAACCCGTGCCGCCGCCGTAAGTAAGAATGTCATTCCGTCAGCCCGTCTGTGACCAGCACTCACAGGACGATCTGTTCACTTTTTGTTGTACAGATCGCGATGTGATCGTCAAAACCCTTGCTCGTACTGTTCTTCTCGAGGACAAATCTGCACATATCCTGATAATTCGGGTTTCACTGGCATTTCAAAGCCTCAGTCTGCGGCTGCGGCCCCAAATATCCACGACCGACTGGTACAGCTAGAACGACTGGTTGTGTCGCTGATGGGCGACTCGGCGAACAGAGGCCATGCTACCTCTGTGCCAGTGCCAGACTCTGCTCGCTCTATGCCTCAGGGGACTCCTACCATGGATACTGTCATGGAAGCGCCGATCGACGGGCATTCGGAGTGTGGCAGCATGCGCATCAGTGAGTCTGAGCTACGGTATGTAGGTGGTGATCACTGGGCGGCGATTCTTGATGGTATTGCGGATATAAAGGATCACTTTGATCGCGATGAGCAGTTACGACTAGCTAATACCCCAGACCAACTGTCGGACGAGCCTACGCATGACCCGTCCCGGCCAAGATCTGGGTATGCACTACTCCTATACGGGTGCCGCAAAATCGCCTCTCGTGGCGAGATTTTGGCAGCGTTGCCCCCAAGGCTGCTGTTGATCGCTATATATCTCGATTCTTTAATTTTCTAGATCTAGTTTCTGCTTGTTCGTACCCTCCTTTATGCTCCATCAGGGTCTGTGTATCTGGTATTGACTATCCTTATAGCAGCCGTTCACGGGCCAAGCTTTTTAAGAGAGGCAAGTTTTCTCCATCGTGAGCATTGAATATTTTCGCTGACGAGAGTAGTATGAGGCATTTTGGACGAATCCATCTAGCGTTCCGATCATGTGGATCGGTCTTCTATTCAGCATGATCTGCCTTGCCTGTTTGACTACGGATACATTGGACGCCGAAGTGGAACATCTGTCGCTTCAGATTGATCTCTATCGAGAAAAGATTGTCCAGTGCCTAGTGTTGGGCGAATACACTAGAACAGGGCCGTATGTTCTTCAAACGGTGATCAACTACGTCTATATTGAATTTTGCCTTCGCACGGACGCTGATCAAGATATGTGGTATTTGCTGGCCTTGGAAATAAACCTAGCCATGCGGATGGGCTACCACCGTGATCCCAGTCATTTCCCAGGAATTTCTCCCTTTCAAGGGGAGATGCGTCGCCGTTTGTGGGCGACGGTCTTGATGGGCGATACACTTGTGTCGAACCAAATGGGCATGCCACGCATGATATCCGACAGGAAATGGGACACAGCAGAACCGCGAAATTTGAACGACACGGACTTTGACGAACAGTCAATATACCTTCCTCCATCGCGTCCCCTGACTGAATACACCAATTCCCTCGGTCTGATCGCTAGAAGACGTATCTTGGCAGCACTGGGCATAGTGGTCGACCTCACAGATGCGGTTAAGCCATATAGTTATGCAGATGTGATGCGCGTCGACGGCATACTGCAAGAAGCCGCAGCTAGTATTCCGCCTCTTTTGCAGATGAAGCCCTTAGCGGCGAGTGTGACGGACTCTCCGCAGGTCATCATGTCGCGATTGTTCTTGGGTCATATGGTCTATAAAGGGCAGATTGTTCTTCATCGCCGGTTTCTGTATATAAACTCGGCTAATCCAGACGATGATCCAATGAGCTACTCACGAAAAGCCTGCTTGGATGCTTCGCTGGGAATGTTGAACATCCAACATATGCTTGATGAGGAAACATGCCCGGGCGGCCAACTGTATACCATGAGGTTCCGTGTGACTTCCATTATGAACCACCAATTCCTCACTGCTACTATGGTACTATGTTCCATGCTGCATCGGGGGAAAACATTACAGCAGGAACAGGAGATTCGGGCAGCCCTTCAAATCTCTAGGTCCATTTGGATGCGAAGAAGTTTCACTTCCAAAGAAGCAACAAAAGCCGCCGAAACTGTTAGTTTCGTCCTCGCAGAGGCCAGCGACGGTCACAATTCCAACCTCTCTTTTAGCCAAGATGTCTCCCGCGACTTACAAGACAATTATCAAACGAACGCTTTACTCGAAAATTCCGCCAAGTTTACCGGTCAACCCCTGGAAGGAAGTCTGCTAGCACCAGATAATATGGGTTTATTCGAGCGTGAGTTTCGGGTCGAGCTTTCTCTCTTGCCTGGTCTAACTAAGCTATAGCCGATCATTTTCTTATGACAGGCTCCTTTGGAATGTTGACTTCGTCCAACCAGGATGGTCAGCAATTCGGACCAAACTTGAACGCATTGGAGAGACCAGCTGACGGTTGGATGGTTATGCCAGGACAACCATGGTTATAACTAGGACTTTATATATAGTACCACAACAACTTAAATCCGTTAACAGATTTTCATGCTAACATTAAATGTTACGGCCGTATGATGGGATGGATGTCTATCCCAATTAGTGGAGGCCATGCGATCAGGGGACATCATAATTATATCATAACGGCGAACAAGTCTTCGGATGAGTAGTGACGGAGAAATGAATATGTGGCAACCTGCTGATGATTAGAACATTTAAGTAGATGGATTATCTGTCGAAGACAGACTTAGACTTCGTTAAACGATCACTCACCTGAACCAATAACATAGATCAATATGCCGACAGAAGAAAACCTCAACGAGATGCGTGGCTACAAGGCGTAAGTATTATATTCCGGTCCGTAAAGACTCGTCAGCGTATCTGAGACCTAATGTATCTTTTACAGCGCGCTGAGAAACCCGAAAGTTGGACAAGAAGCAAAGGAAAATGCACAAGCCAAGCTTAATGAGCTCGGCGGTGATCAGCCTCGTGAGGAATTGTATAAGGCAAGAGGCGATGAAAGCAAAGACCCAGTTAGGGTCTCAGCTGGGCTTAAAGCGTGAGTATGACCTTAAGGGAAAACTTGAACGTTTACTGATTGACCCATGTAGCGCGCAGCATAATCCTCTTGTGACGGAGGGCGGGAAGCAGAGAGCTGCTGAGAAGATGGGACACAGAGGTCCGGAGGAGTAGACGCCTGTGTGGTTACTTGCTGTAACTATCCTTTCATGAAAGCATATGGGCATGGCGCTTGTTGATATCTCCGAACACATAGTATCAATCAGACTGGAAGTCTGACTTTTCAGCGTCCCATAGTTCAACAGCTTCCGATACATAACTATATTTCTTCAAGATCTCATTTGAGCCTATAGATTTGTTATGAATCTAGGAACTCACCATTTACATACCACAGGGATCACGTCAAACCAATCGAATTCGCTGCGAAGGTGTATAGCGGCCAAACATCGCAGACACCTGGGTGTTGTAAGTTCCTGCGGCTTAGTTGGTGATTAAAAAGCGGCTAGGGGTGAGCACCAAAACGGAAAAGGAAAGCCAGGTCATGCAGTGTATATGCATTATTTGTCTAGGATGTGCAATAGAGCTTTTGTAACACTGGGCAACCCGAGGCTGCAATATATATATTTCCCTTCTCGCGTACAGTAGGCGATGTTCACTCAAAGCTTAGCCGTCACTGCCCCTAATCCATCCGCCGCTCTTCGTAGTGACTTCCAGTACTTGTCCTTTCGCTGGAGAATCTCGAATCCTTGTTCTGCCCATCGATCTTCCCAAGGAGGGAGTGAGTAACCATCCGTTCCCGGTGCTGGGGGCCCAGCCAAATCCGTTAAGAAACCGAAATATTCCTTGAAGTCAGGCTTGATTTCGTGAAACAGAGCTGTATGGCCTTTGTATTGAAGTCTTTGGACCTCCCAAAGATCCTGCTCTTGTGGCGTTGGCAATGATGTTGCATTCCTTCCGGCGAAATATCGGGCAACGGCAACGGCCTGATATTCATAAACCCGGAAGCTGATCGCAGCGCGCACCTGGCCGACCAGAGCTAAAGATGGATCCCCAATCTTGAAAATGTGCTGGTAAAACCCTGCTACCCGGTTGTTGGGGGTCACGGGGTTTGGGACAATGAATGGATAGGACAGTTTGTACCCAGTGGCGAAAATGATCTTGTCCACACCGTCCAAAAGGCTGTTGTCGGAAAAGACAACGTTTATCCCTTTCTCTGTTGCTTGGATCTCTTTGATCGTTGGCCTAGAATTGACATTAGGTAGATCCCATGCGGATTGCAGTGCCTCGTTCTTCCCTCTCTGGGATAGCTCGAGGGGACCTTTCACAATGGCATGTAAATCTGCGACAAGATCTGCTGACGAGACACTGCCTCCAACAACTACCACACGCTTGTCCACGTAATCGTCTGCCTGTCGGAATGCCTTCGAATGCTCAAATGCAGTCGGATAGCGCGCGAAGGCAGCATCTAGCCCTGGGACAAAAGGAACATAAGGCACACTGTAATGCCCCGATGCAACGATCACAGCATGGAATTGCTCTTCCCACCAATAGTCCTTGGGAGTGTTACCGCCCCCGTGACCGGACTGACGAAGTACTAAGGTCCATTGTCCGTCCCGCTTTTCAACTTTTTCGACTGTTGTATTTAGCGAGGCAAGATGAAGATAGTTTTGGAATATATCTTCCAAGTATTTTCTCACCACCCGAAATGGCCGGGTTGGGTTGGACTGCCCTAAGTGTCGGGTTGACGATGCCGAATTTATCTCAGGAAAGGGGGTGTGTGTGAAAGCCATGACTTTGGCGCCGACATTACTGTCAAGACCATCGTAAATGCCTGTGCGAGACGTTACGTCTTCAGGGGAAGGAGGTTTAAGCAGCGGAAGACGACTTGGGATTCCGTGGTCTTGTTCACTGGAAGAGTCTTGGGATGGAAACAGATCAGGAACCTCATCGTACTGCCAGATTCCCCCAATGTGACCCCGGCGCTCGAATAGACGTATCGTTTGGAAGATCTTCTCTTCTTGCAAGGCTTTGACGGTAGAAATGCCAGATGGACCAGCGCCGATCACAGCAACGCTTTGATACCGGGGTCCCATGACAAGAAGTCGTCTCGTGGATGGCCTTTGAAAGTGAAGAAGAATATGTTCGAAAAATATCTTGTTATCTGAGAAATATCATCAACAAGATGTGAGCCTTTTTTAATCGGGGCTGTATTCTTATCAATTAACGAGATAGTATACAGAGTAAGCGATGATGTCAAAATACTCCACCTTGTCGGAATTGCAGCCAAGTACGTGATGGGTCAGTATTGCTTAACACCAGCTGGGAGGGGGAATTATCATTGGGAATAACCTGTAAGATGTATTTAGGCTGGCATTGACGCAATTTGAGGTTGAGGTGGTTAGATTTTCGATCCAATTAACATCCAACATCCTGGTGATATGGGTATCTTTTGGTGCATATATGAATTCAACGTTGCTGGACGAAATCCCCACCAAGGTACGAGGTAGATTGGTAAATGGCAAGCAACAGCGGGGCTGCATTGCGAATATGTAGGGGCATCGAATTCGAGACGCCATGGTATAGGATATGTCTCGGGGTTCATTTGGCAGCACACTCCCATTCCAGTTCACTTGGTTCTTTCCAATAGTTTGTGTCACTCGGTGTAAAGCCAAGTTTTCGCAACAGATTTCCACTTCTGCTGTTATCTCTCTCTGTTTCGGCGATGAATCTTTTGACCCCTCTTTCATCCACAGACCACCGCATAATGGCCTTCGACGCTTCCTGCGCAATTCCTTGTCCCCAGAATTTTGGCGAGACACCGTACCGCAGCTCAATCATTTTGACCCATAATGGCAGCGCAGGATCTCCAGGCTCTCGTGGCGGCATCGAAGTTGTTGTCGCATCACGGAGCCCTGCATAGCCCACCCACTCGGAGGTAGCGATATGAATATTATTGAGTCCCGCAACCCGAACGTAGTCATCGCCTTTGAGTGTGACGAACCCATCATTTTGTGTGGGGTGATTGTTGGGTCCGAATGTGGATGGTCCGCGCAACCCCACAGCAAAATCACCCAAACCGCGCCTTTGCCAACAACGTTCAATATCACGCGTCTGAATCCAATTGCGCGTCTCCTCATCGCTCCATACCCTGGCTGGAAAGTGATGCCCGAAACCCATTTGGCAGAAGTCCACATTTGCATGTAAGTCGGAATAAAGTGCCCGGTATGATTTGAAGGAGACTGCTGTTGGGGTGGGAACAATAATCAATCGAGGTGTAAGAATGACGAATTGTCTGACGGAATCTCCGTTATCCAACCCCATTTTGCAGATGATCGGACTCCAAAGGTAAATTGAATCAACTAACAAGACCTGGACTGTATGCCTGAGGGGAAAGAAAAAGAAGGGAAAGAAAAAGAAAAGGAAGTGTATTCCCTACAGGTCACGTGTATTGGTTTGATATTCCTGGCTGTCTGATTCTCTCCGATGCGTTGACTGCCAGGAAGCTAGGAATGGTTGGATTCCGGATGCTAAAAAACAAAGTTACCATTCCCGCGTTACCGAGGATGGGATGAAGAGGAATGGACAGACGCCGATAGGAAATACGGCGAATATTTGACCTTTGGGACCTAATATCCCATAGGCTTGTCGCGATGTGAACAAGTTCAAAAATTGAAGTTCTTGCTGTCTCGTCTCCAGATGAGATGATTGCTCCCTCGAGATACCTCTCTCTTAAATCTCCATGGATGGCGGGCCATATTATATTATTATTTCGCTCGCATTTTTCAATCACTATAAATGCGTAGAATGGTGTGTTTCCAACATTCAGCCCCCATTTTCAAAACATGGTCAGCCTGTTCTTAGACCCTAGCTTTCTATGTCCTGGACTAGGATTAGATAGTGGATTATTACTACATGTCATCCGAGGTTGCGAAATATGATTTAAAGATAACACAAATACACACATGTGATATAGTAAACAACCGCTGAATGTAGGCAGTCCATGCAGTTGTACATCAAGGATCATGTGGAATGCGATGAATAAATCCCCGTTCAACTGGAATCGTACAGCGAATGGAGCGATACCAATATAAGTTTCATGCATTTAACATGTGTTGAAACAGCTGACGAGACGTGTCATTCTCTAGTAGGATATGAGATTAGTTCGAGTCCCATTGAATAGTTATGGCACACTAAATACGCAATCAGTGTTGAAATGCACGTTTATACAAGGGAAAAGATAAAGGATTTGGAACTGCAAGATATAATTCCATATCGGGCGAACGCACATGTAATTCGGGGTTGTTGCGTCAGGCGGGATGTTGATATTATTCAACCACATGCAAATATTCGAGCGTCCTCATGTGATCCCGAGTGTTTTTCGAAGAAATTAGGGCGGCGTGTTCATGCCGTCACGTGCATCCGTTCTCCGATCTCCCTGCCGAGGTGAAAACTTAACTTTAAATAAGGTACGAGCATGGAGTATCGAAAGAAGCGACTTAAACCCCGGCGATTGCCTTGTCCTCGGGACTCATACGCGATGTGGACATTCTATAATTATCTCATCTAGGTTTTACATATCAAAACTGCGCAACACGAAATGTTCAATTAAAAATATCAGGGGAAAAAAACGACTAGGTGAAATAACACGTTGTTTTTGATAGCTTTCCGATTGGGTAATGTTAACAGAAATGAGAGGTCATGGCGAATCGTGATGATTGAGAAAATCTTACACCTGATTCAAGCCAAGATCAATATCAATCTGGCAACGCGTACGGAGTACAGAGTACGGTACCTACATTACGGCCACGTAGGTACGAAGTCCGGAGTTGTACAGCGTGACACGAAAATAAGCTTAAAATAGAGTCCAAAGCTATTCCTCCAATGGCCGAAATTACTGCGCATCCTGCTGGTAAATAATGGAGCGTATTTGCTGAAAGATCCTGGGTTACTATTTTGATTTATTGTTTTTCGGGGAAAGTCGTGTCTGATGGCCAAAAAAGTGCTTACTCCAAAAGGGGGACGTTTTTCACAATTGAGGGCAGTGCTCCCCCTGCCCCTGACAGAGCCAGTAGGACAACGGCATAACCGCCAAGCCGTTTATTAACTTTTTCTCAACCTTTGCTTCTTAGTGGATCCCTAGATTCTCCCGAGGTTGAAAAAGGGGGTGGTGTATGAGACTTCCCGCGAGGTGGATAGCCTCCAAAGGCAAACGCGGAAATGCATAGCTAGTGCCCTAATAGCCCCATAGATTTATTCGCAGAATGAGACAGTATCAGGTATCACATTCGAGGTGTGGCTCTATTTTGGTAATTGAGTGAGTCCGTTACCAAAAAGAGTGTCAATGGACTAAAATTCCGTTGGGCCCCAGAAACGTTGAAAAAAAATTAAAATAGAAGGAACAGGCTAGTGCAGTGTGAATCCATGGAACAAGCGCGTCCATCCGCTAGACGATCATCCAATCAAAAAGCTATTCTCTAGTCTGTGCACCGAATTTGACAGTGTTCTGGAAAAGAATTGGAAAAGGAGATTGGTCAATGTTTTTTTGAGTTCCGGTAATCTCGAGCCCATTTTTTTCGAGCCTACGGAATACTTTATGGGGGCGAAGGGGCAAAAGAAAAAATAATAATAATAATATTAGAGAAATAAAACTACCCCCAGTCCTCTAAACATTTTCTTATCACTGTCATCTTCAATAAACTACTTCAAAATGGCCGTAACACAAAGGCAGCCTGTCAAACAGGCAGAACAGGTATGAGATATTCCCCAAATCACCCATTAAACAGTACCCATGTACTAATATTCTGCTTCTGCAGCAAAACGATGTTCCTAGCTTGCAAGCCCTCAAAGAAGCAATCCCGAAGGAATGCTTCGAATCATCCCTCACCACCTCCCTCCTCTACCTCGCTAGGGATAGCATCTACTGTGCAGCTCTGATTTACGCTGCCCTTCACATTCATCTCCTCCCTTCTCTGCCCATGCGAGTTGTTGCCTGGGCCGTGTATGGGTTCTTCCAAGGCTGTGTTGGTACAGGACTATGGATTCTTGCTCATGAATGTGGCCACGGTGCCTTCTCGAAGCACCAAGGTATCAATGATTTCGTTGGTTGGGCTACACACTCCTTCCTTATGGTCCCATACTTCTCATGGAAGATCACCCACGCTCGCCACCATCGCTACACCGGCCACATGGAGAAGGACACCGTCTTTGTCCCCTGGACTGAGGATGATTTGGCGTCGAAGAGAAATGTCAGCATTGAGCAGTTGAAGCACCTCGCTGAGGAAACACCCATTGTATCCTTTGTCCAGCTCATCGGACACCAATTGTTGGGATGGCAGATGTATCTCATCCTGAATGTGACCGCTGGTACTAAGAGTGGCCCTGAAGGAAGTGAGAAGGTGAAGTATGAAAGCCACTACAACCCATCAAGCTCAATCTTCACGGCCGCCCAGTGGAAGCTCATTGCCTACTCCGACATCGGCTTGTTGATCATGGGCTCTATCGTCTGGTACACTGGAACTATCATCGGAGCGTGGAATGTCTTCTTCCTCTACGTGGTCCCCTATCTCTGGGTTCACCACTGGCTGAGTACGTCTTTCATTCCTATCTTACCTAAGACTCTAGAATAAGAACTAACTGAATCGACAGTTGCCATCACATACCTTCAACACACTCACCCCGAGGTTGCTCACTACACCGCGGAAGCCTGGACTTACACCAAGGGAGCACTGGCCACCATTGACCGCACCACCGGCTTCATTGGCCGTCACTTCTTCCACGAAATCATTGACTACCACGTGGTCCACCACCTTTTCAGCCGCATTCCATTCTACAACGCGGAGAAAGCCACCAAGGCCATCCAGCCTATGCTCGGTGAAAACTACCACGAGGAGAAGGAAGAGAGCTTCCTGTACTCCTTGATGGTTACCTTCCGCAAGTGCATCTATGTCTCGGAGAGCAAGGGACGTGCCAGTGGGCAACCTGGTGTTCTGCACTTCGTTCTCTCAGATGAGAGCAAATGAGGATGGTACTGTCAGGTATCATAGACCAGCCCTTTTATAAAATCATAGACTAGATTTCAGTTATAGATTTTAATTATACCACCGCAAGTTTGCAAACAACGATATATTTCTCTGCTGTGTCTGATTCCTGATACCCATGATGCAATATTAATTTATTACGTGAACATAAAACATCTGACAAGAGCAAAAAGGTGTTGGTCACCAGCAATCTCATATTCCCATAATAGACGGGGTGTCCACTGCCCGCCCCCATAAGAACCAAAAATTGAATGTTTCAGTCGGGCATCTAATCCATCGTATCCACAAAAGTCCAATCTTGCATAAAATCAAGAGACGGCATGTTGCAAGTTGTATATGTAGTGCTGCACGTAGATGTCTATATGTAGTCCAGGCGGGTCAAACTGGTCTCAGGTGTCTTTGGCGTGTGATGAGCGTCTGTATATGGTTCGCTAGCTTTGACTAGAGGTTGGGGGAGTCGATCAACGGCAGCGCAGAGGTGTCCAGATCCGATCGAGGCGGTCCAGCGTGGCTAAAGTTAGCGTAAGAACCGTTAAGTAGGTGGGTGGGTGGGTGGGTGGGTGCAACTTTAAGATTTATAGGCCAAGAGGTAAGGTGAGTTCCGCCTGGCCAGAGTGGGAACGATCGCCAATGGGAACAACTTCCATCCGGGTACCGTTGATGCTTGACTGCTTGCTACACTACTAGGTGGTGGATGTTGGGGAGGTTCAGATCCTATCAGTACCCGATAAGACGAGCTTGTAAGTATTCGAGCGCGAGATCCAAGAGGTAACTAGTACTGGAACTTAATATATTGTGTTGATAGACGTATAAGATCAGCCGTGATGATTTGTGGGGGTTGGGTGGATCGATTATCGAATGAGGTCGTGAGATGCCACCTATTACGAGACATGGTTTTCCCAGTGACAAAGGGCGTATAACGTGAAGTTGATTTCACTGTGACCTAGGGAGCCGCTTACAGGAGGCTTTACTGGTGGTGGTTGTGAAATGTGAGGTTGGAAATAGTAAGGTCTGTGATAGCGAGGCTTACGGGAGAGAAAAGCAATATAATTGATACTATAGTGTTTCGAATAGACACAGAGATAGGGGGGGTGGACAAGCTAAAGAAGATGAATCGGTCGTATTAGGTGATAAAAGTGAATATTTTAACAAAGCAAACTAAGCTTTACTTGTTGGTTTCGTGAGCTCGTGTACATGCCTATCTTAATAAGGACGCAAAAATAAACAAGGCCAAGTCACACCTCAAATTCACTCTTTCTCCTCCCCTCCCGCTGCCAAACAACCCATCCCAAGGTAACTATCAACTTCAGACCCATAGCAAGCCATATACTAGACGCCATAGTCGTGGCCTTAGAAAGCCCACCCGCTGTCATGGCGCCCAGAAACAATGCCAGAAAAGCCCCTACTCGACGGTTGCGCTTCGGGTTGAACTTTGCAGTCAGCTTTGGATCGACAAGCAGATCGCATAGCATAGCCGTCACAACAACAGTTGGGATTTCATCTAGGGCCAGGACCCGGGAAGCACAGATCTGGCCTCCCGCTTGGAAAGCTAGAAGTGAAATTGCTAGGGCTTGCATCCATTCAATCGGAGCTCGGGGGTCCTCCGGCTTCGGGGTGATGACCTCCAGCTCGATAAGAACTGCTGTCGCTAAAAGGGCAATAGTCTGAATACCAAATGAGATTATCATAGTTGAGCGGCGTCGTGGCCCCAAGAGCCGATGCATGTGAATGAAGATGAGATTACTCGCAAGGAAGATGGTTAGGGCGATGAGGGACTTCGCCCAGAGATATGCTGGGGTTGCAGGCTGACCGGAGGCACCTAAGGCTAAGAAGATGGTATTTCCTATGCGGTTTATCATTAGCCCTATGTGCTTTGTGCAGCGGGAATAAATTGCACGGGTAACTATAAACTTTACATACCTGTTTGCATACTTGAAAAGCTGCCCCATGCATTAAATGATAGCCCATCCACCAATCCACCAACGAACCCGCATATTATAAGAGGAATATCGGTATGTGTGGTGTCTATGTCTGCGCGGAAGTGACGGGAGATAGTTGAGCACACAGTGTTGTCTTCTGGTGTCTGGTTTCCAGAGATAGACACTGCTGTGCTGCCCCCAGAAGACCACATGCCCGGTATATACTTGATTTCTTCATTGGGTCGCTCCAAGCGAAAGCTTGCGGTTGTTAACTCGTTCTGGGAGATGGGACGGTTATCAGGGGCGTGGGGGGCGGTTGTGAGTGGCTCGATATATCCCGACGGGGAAGGGGGCCGCTGGTGCATGTTCGGATGATTGTAAATGTGTACAACGTATATACCATTTAAGGTCGGATAAGCTGATCTTGAATAGAATCAGGCCTGGAGGGTTCCACTTTAGTAGTGCCAATATTGAATAGAAATTAGACTGCTGGCATAAGACCCAAAGGATACACCCTTCTTTAATACTGATCTATTTTTCGGACTTATCCCGATTCTCTCCATGGAAGGAATAAGCTGAATCCTCGCCAAGAGAGATAAGAAAACACGCCGATGACATGAAACATTGATACTTGCCGTATCCCTAGACGCCTCGTGTATGTGTTACGGAGTACACCGCCGAAGGGTACGTTGGGAGCCGAACTTATGTACTTAATCTAGATCTACTAACTATACAACATATACGGCTCTGCATTCTACATACACTTCGCGTATGTAGGCACTATATCGTTGATTATCGGTGAAATTAGACCACATTATATAGGGGGGCAATCTTCATACAAATACTCGTCCATATGAATACCCATCCTGAAATGAGTTGATCTCACATATCCCATCTTAGCAGAACCTGGGCGTTATCTTGGCGCTACAATTATCTTCGCGGCATGCGTAATTCATCCCCAGACCCCATTAGAAAACAAACTATAATACGACATCGGAAGCTGGGGATTCAGGATTTACCTTGAGTGGGTGGAGTCCGTCAAGACCCGATTCCTTAGGCTTCTCCGTTCCCAAGGAGCATTCCGCAGCATTTACTCACATTGATTCTTGGCAGCATGGTTATACGTTGAGGCACTCATTGGCTAGCTATATCTCGCAGAATTGGTACGCGGCAATCGACCGGATTCAAATTTGAAATAATTGTGACCAGTCATCATGTCATTTAAATTCGTCTGCCCCTGTGTTTATGGGATGTATACAATATATGTAATCACCTGGACTCAGATGTGTATTGTGTATCGCCTGCTCTGGCCCCTGAAAACGTCAAAGGTAGAGTTTATTTGCCAAGGGATCGACGTATCCACCAACACTAGTCCGTTCGGAGGGCCCTAAAACACCGCAGTAAGACTAGTCGCCAAGAACGATCTCCATCAGCATCAAAGCATGAATGGTTGACCACTAGTCTTATCTATACATACCAACGGCTAATTGCTGATAACACAGCCTGGAATCCTGGATCTTGGCGTTCACTAGGTTGACTGTTGATTAGAGAGCAGTTCACGCAACCGAGTTGCGCTGACGGGATCAAATCTTGGCATATTCTCATCGAAATGGATATGTGAGCTGCACAAATCTAGGCCCAACTCAAAAAAGAGAAGTACAGTAGTGATTAAATTGGGGACCTTTATGGCCGTCGGAAGTTGGGAGTTCACAAAAAAAGGGGGGAGGAATAAAAGCTGCTGTTCGGGCTCAGCAAGGTGATTGAATGTTTCCACCCAAAAAAGCAATATTATATGCCAAGGCGTGAGAAATCGTGTTCCTTCCCATGATGTTATTCTCTTCAAACTAGCCAAGATCGATTGCTCCATGAAGCCGCCGGCAAGACGTGATACTGCCAAGGGGATGTCTCTGGCTCAGCTCCAATTGGCCAGCCCGCCGACTGGGCAGTGTTTTGGCTTGAAACCATCTTTAACCGTTCTCCCTGCTGTGAGTGTGACCTCACCACCTGATCATTATACCTAGAACAAGGATGCACTTGAAAGCCGAGAGTACTGCAAGTGCTGCCATGTGGATATTAGGTTTAAGGCGACTCCTTTCGGTGCGCTCGAATCATGCTTAAAATCTACTCGAAAGTTTTATCGCGTCGAGATGTAACTATGTACGTTCGTTCGTTAACTATAACTATGCAACATGCTGTAACATGTTGTAACATACTTCAACATGTTGTAACATACTGCAACATGTTGCAACATACTGTAACACACAGGATGTATAGCTAGGTGTATAGTTCAGCTCATGGTCTTGGTATTCACCATCTTCAGAGGATGAGACCTGACGGCAAGGGTGAAGGATTAAGTGGGGATGCGGAGATCAAGGCAAATGTCAATACCACGTTGAGGCTTTCCGCCAGTTAGATGTTAGTCATGGCTGTGTGTCAACTCTTTCTTATCTTTGAAGGGGAGATCCTAACTTTAAGCATCCGAAATGATGTTGCCGGGGGACCCAATCTCCACTCATTGAAGACATAGCGCAAAAATCCGTTAAGGCTGCGCCACTCTGGGAAGGCCTCTTGGCGTGGGGTGAATGTTGATCCTTGTCAATCCTTGTCTATTATTCTTGGTGCCTTGGATACACTTTCCGCCCTTGCTGTGGATAAGAGTCCGCCCACAAAGAGATACTGGTAATACTCTTTGCCAAGATATTGCGCCAGTTGACTAATGATTTCCAAGCTCTGGTCCTCGGAGGAATCATCGGGAAAATGCCTGCATTGCATACAATCCCTTTTCGTGTCGGCCCTGCGTGGTGTTTAGACCCGGATCTAGTTTTCGCCGCATAAATAAATTACCGACTGATGCCTGACCAAAACGAAAACGCGCCTAAAGATCATGTGGAAAGTGGTCCATCGGTGGCCCTAGGAGTTCATAGCTCATGCTGCGAATCTCATGCAAAAGTGAAATCATATCTGTATACACACCACCAGACTAACTAGAAGATCGATATTTCGTGCAGATAAATTGGTTATTTTAATCGGGTTTTCATTAGAATACTCAACTCATTACTTGGCCAAAGTGTGCCGTATCGAATGGCCCAGTTTTGTTCAAATACTACGATTGACTAGGGTAAGGTGGCACTGGTTGTTCCAGCAGGCTCTCGGACTGCAAGTCGTCCGATATGTTCCAATGCAGTCTTCACCGCACAAGTTTCGGTCACATAGGATTATATATCTTGGCAATCCCTAAAGTCCACGAAGGCTAGGTTCGGTGGGGTATTTTCGTAAAGTAGTTTGCTCTGTTACTCTGTTGATTCTCGTCTATCATGAAAGGAGCGTTGCAGCATGCTCGGGAAATGCATCTGGTGAGGATTAGTAGTTTATTTGGACCGTTTTAAGATAAGGCCCTTCTACAGTTTGGTGTTGATATCGAATGGCTTCCAGGCATCTCTCCTATCAACAGAGTATGAACACACGCTCACAGGATAACTCTGTTGATATACTTGGTTCAGTATCTCAGTTGCCATAGTCTTTGAGGACAAGAGTGCACTAAATATTATCATGAGTCTAGTATCTATGGCTTAAGTGATTTAGAAAATACCTTTCTCGTGAGAATTACTTTATCCATGGATTTAATTTCTAATCTTGATGATGAGAATATATTGCTCCTTGTACCTAAACACAGATGTCATAACAAATCTGGATAGAAGGACTGGGTTGAGGCCTCTGAGATGCGCAATAAGTTGGGATCATATTTGTATATGTGTATACTGATAGTCAACTAATAAGGGTCTATTCAGAGGTGTTCGGCAGGATCGGGGAGACATTTGGTAGTAACACGGCCCGAGGTGGCGTCGGAATTCGGGGTCTAGGCCCGTTTCCATCTTTCTCATTCTTACCTTGGAGTTTTGAATAGTACTTGTAATGAGAAGCCAGGAGGAGAGAGAGAGCAATGCAACTGTATTGGAAGTGCTAACTGCTGAAGGAGAAGGGGAGAAGAAGAAGAGGGAGAGGAACCTTCCAAGGTTGGAAGCTATCCGTAGCTGAAAAACAGGGTCAGGTGACACCGATCCCAACAACTAGGGCTCACGCTCCGCAAATATTAGCTGTCAGGATCTCTATTCTAGTTGGAGATGAAGAGAGAACAAGAATCCATGAAGATAATGACGTTTTTCCATTGCAATGGCGATGAGATACATACACATGCACAAATTATGTGATCGAAGGGAAGGGGGTATATGGCAAGCAAGACGGGAGACCTCCCAGGGAAGAAGGTAGACGGGTAAGGTCGGCCCGCAGAAGAAAACTACATTGACAATCATTGGAAAAGATACAAGCCCTTGGAGTGGTAACCTCAAGCCACCCGATCCTTATCTTTCTGTTCCAGCTTTCCAACAAGCCGTTTCATACCCGTCCACTCGTCCGCCGGTACTTCCTCCGGCAGCCCACAGAGACCCTTGCCAACTTCAAAGACCGTAACGACACCATTGAGGCCACCAGTGGCCAGGCGGCGTCCTTCACGCTCGTCCCACGCAACCTTGTTAAGGCTTCGGGACATGATGTTGCCATGGGTATTGTCGACAACCTCACGCGCCACTGGCACTTCGGTATCTGAAGCGAGGTCCCAGACTTCGACGTTGCCGGCACCATCGACAAGAGAGAACACGCCGGGTCGGGTTGGGTGCCAGCGGGCATCATAGACGACATCGTCCCGGGTAATGTCGAGAATGGGTGAGACGACTTGGGATTGGGCCAGGCCAGATGTGGCAGAGGCGGTCGTCGCAGGTGGCCGCACACGCCAGAGCTTCACGCTCCAGTCCAGACTGGAGCTAAGCATAAGATCACCGAGGTCTACGGGCCCACGGCCGGGGTGGAATGCGGTAGACATGATTGGTGCCGTATGTCCCTTGTAGGCTAGGCGGTGGTCTGTGCCAGACTTGGCCCCAGCCCGATCGTACCGGTGACACGGGTAGATGACTCCCTCTTCAGTACCAACGATGAAGAACGTAGGATCAGTGTGAGGGAATGACATGGTAGTTGGAGCAAGATCCTCGGTCTTAGATGGGGGAGGGGTAGTCAGTTCCACACGATCTTGTGGGTAAGAGAGCATATCCATTGTCCAACCGCAGACCACACCGTCCGTGGAGGCGGTCATGATATTATGTGCATTCTGTGTGCCAACAATCGAGATGCTGTAAACGGGATGGGCGTGTCCGCCACCTGATAGGGGGTCTTTTGTACTGGAGAGCCTCCACCAGCGCGCGAGGAACGAGTGTCCCATACGAGCACCTGTCCCGAATAGGAGCCTCCAACAACAAGGTTTGGATGATAAGGAGAGAATTTTGCGGTAAGGATATCAGATGTCGAGTGGAACACATATTCCGGACGGGTTTGCAGGTGCTGATTCCAGATCTGAACAAGGCCATCGGGTTCGTGAGGAGCAGAAGTATTCTTGGTGTATGATGCAAGCAACAATTCAGGGAACTAGAGTCAACGTTAGCATGAGCCAAAGCACATCCATTGGAAGTGGAAAGCTTGCCTTGGGAGAGAAGCTTAGATCACTGATAATGCGATTCTTGCTCCACCGCTCGTCCCAGAAATGGCACACTTCTTGCATTCCTCTCCTTTTCTTGCCAGTCTCCTCATCTTCTTGCAAATGCCCATCAGTTCCACCCAGCTCATAGTCTGCCAATACATCGTAGTCTTCATCCAAAGCCCGCTCGATGACCTTTGAAGAGCGCTCGACAAAGTCCAGGAAATCGTCCGACGATGTTACTGCCTTGAGCTCGTCGTCATCGAGTTTGCGTAGGGGATACCGCAGCTTCGCGGATTGCGCAGTTGTGTCCTCATCATTATCGGCCTGATTGGTGGCTTGCAGCTCGTCCTCGATTTCCTTACGAAGCTTTTGTCGGATTTCCTCATCTCGCTCCCGGTTTCGTCGACTGAGATGCTTGCTCGACCGTGTAGTACCCGGGGACTCCTCATCGTCCGAAGCGACAGACTCTTCAGGACTTTCAGGCTGGATATCTAGTCCGTCTGTTTGCACGGCCTTGCTGTAGGTGACAACTTCCGGTTTGGGTGTGGATTTGTATTCGGGTTCAAGTTCAGGGGGCTGCGGGGCTTCCGTTGCAGAGGAGATCCAAGGCTCATCTGTTGTCTGAACGGCAATGGACTGGGAATGTGGTCGCGATGAAGCTGCATATGTGTCTGCATTCTCCCCACTTAATTGGCTCGCACTCAACACAGATGTTGGTCGACTTCCTCTCCGCGACTGGCTATCGGCGCCGTGGCTGAGGGAGGCCGACGCTGGGCGGTCGACCAAGCGAGAGATCAAATCATCGAGGTCGTGTCTGTTCTCTGAGCGGCTAGGTACTGGTGATATAATCTGACAAAGGGTATTAGATCCGCACAAGCTCCGTAATTCATTCAAATGCTGTGTTTACCTCTGAAGCATCCCCGACGCTGGTTCGGGATGTGAATTCCTTCTGGCGGAGCTCGCGCTGCTTTTTGAGCTCGGCAAGCTTGGCCCGCTTCGCAAGGATCTCATCCTTCCGCTGCTGCATCGACATCTTGTACAATCATAAAATGTTAGACTAGATGCGTCCGCGTTCAAGTGTAGTACCTCCACTGCGCGTTTATTTACGGAGATGACTAAGCACCATCTTCGGGAACTCTGGAGCGGTCCGGAAAAACTCGCGCGCGCAGAACATGAACTGAACCTCGCCATTTGACTAACCTGGAGATTCATTGCCATTGACGGTTGACACCTCTTCCACGGTCCCTCCTTCTTACAAAATTAATCCCCTCATTTAATTCCCGTCTCCCACAAACCTCGCAGAAATGGCTAGCCAGGGTGTCAATGTGAGTACCGGCTAAGGGTTACCCTCTCCCCCGACAGTTGTTGACCACGTCTCCAACCATAAAGGTCCTCCGTTACTCGGCTCTCGTTGCCGGTCTTGTCTACGGTGTCTACCACCAGACCTCCCTCAACTCGGTGACCAAGCGCGCGGAGATTGAGCACGAGTATGCTCGCAAGGAGCGCCTGATCGAGCAGGCCAAGGCCGAATACAAGAAGAAGACCCAGCCCCAAGAGACCAAAACACAGACCAGCGGACGTACGTTTGATCCCCCCCGATGATACAACTCAACCAATGCAACGACATCCGGAGCCGCCGCATCTCTCCAAAACCCCAAGTGCTGACCAAGGTTCCATAGTTATCACGAATTTCGAGGATCCCAAGTTCGACCTGGAGGCGTTCTTGAAGGCTAAGGCTGGAGAGTAAATGTAATGGATGGTATAGAGGAGGAATGCTACGCAATGATCTCTTTGCGGGAATCGCACCTCCCCAGGGTATTAGATGCGTTTTGCTCAATTCCGCTCCATTTTATTGTACGATTGTTTGGGTTTAATCTGCCCCCCGAGCTGTGGCATTGCGAGCGCAAGATGGAATGATTTTTGTTTCTCATTTTTAGACGTTTTATCTGGGCCCTGTACATACCCTGGGCTGTCGTGCGCCTGTACACTACAGTTGGACCAGAAGCAAGAGCAAAAGATCGTGTTATGCATTCCGGCGTTACCAATGGTCCAAGTACGTACAAGAGCAATCTTGGTTTTGGCGGCCTTCGGTCTCGGTCCTACCATTCCCACAACCCGGACAGAGGATGTAGCTGTGTGAACAGTAGACCTCGGACAGAGGACCAGATCTATCAAATAGCTTATATTCCTCGGTTTCCCAAGCAAACCTAACCCGCACGCGTTCCTAGCATTTCCATTGCCCTGCGAATCCCGTTGGAAGACTGAGACTCGGCAGGCGAGACGACGATAGGTTTGGGATGCAGCACCTTTGATTCCGGATCCCATGTCCATCCACATTTTGTGAAACTTGATATTACGTTCGGATCTTCCTGCTTGGCAAGCTGTTCGTCAATACCAAGGTGGGTAGCCGCTGTAGCTAGTCGTATGGCTTCGTAAGACCTGCTCACTGCGATCAAGGTCTTGTCTTGGAAGAAGCCTAATTGTAGAACGATTAGTCAATTTAAGATCCTGCCAAAAGAAGAAGCTTATTGTCTTGAGAGACATACTCTCATATCTCCGAACCAGTGGCTGCAAAATATCTGGCCATGGTAGACCCCGGAGTACTTGGTAGACCTGGCCGTGTTGAGTCTGCCATACCGCTCGCAGTAAGGTTAAGCAGTTCTGTAAAGAAGGATCATGTTGGAGTAGGGATTCAGGAATTCGTTTCGTTAATGCACGAGCTTCAGATCTAGAACACAAACTTCATTAGCAGTGTTGGCAACCGTCAATAGCACTCTCATTAACTAACACTTGGTCGGTAAGAAGATGGACAAGAAAGAAGCTCGAGTAGAACAGGCTCAATAGTGTAGAGTCACCACTGCCTGTGTTAGAACTATTACCCCCAGCAGAAATGAGGCATGCTTGGAGCTCGTATCGCGACAGGGCTTCAAAGAGCTGTGAAGGTGGAGCGTTGGAGGTCACCAGCTGTGAGAGCTGCTCCTTGGTCAGCGGAGGCAGCTCCATTTGGGTATGTGAGGTGTAGATAGGTTGTAATGGCTCGTTCTGCTGTAGAGATATTGATGTAATCGACGAGAGTAAGTATACTGAGTGAAAATTTAGTCAAAGAGCTCCAAGCAAAGATTATTGATGAGTCGTAGTATTGCGGGGAGCAATCGGAGGTGGCGCCTCTGGCCGATGCCAAGACCTTCAGAAGTGACCACCTTGCGCAGCTCTTGCTCTTCCCATCTCTCCCCACGGCTCTCACCACTGGCATCTCGGCCCAATTCATTCCTTGATTTCATGTTTCTATTTTGATTTCTGACTCTGGACTTTGCTCCGTTTTCAAGGCCATCATGGCCCCGTCTTCGCTTGATGTTGTGCTGAAAGGCAGCTCCGGCCGGAACACGCGCGGTCTATTGCGGGTTATCATTCTTTGTACCATTGCCGCCGCCGCGGTGTCCAGCCGCTTGTTCAGTGTTATTAGTATGTCTCAATTCAGACTCTCGATGATCAGTGTGCTAACTATTTTCTAGGATTTGAAAGTATCATTCACGAATGTACGATTTCCCTGCACTACTGCACCAGATGCGGTGGCCACCTTGACTGCCCCCAAACATACAAACAAGATATTGATACTGTCTTACTCTAGTCGATCCGTGGTTTAACTTCCGTGCGACAAAATACTTGATCGAAAATGGCTTTTATAGCTTCTGGGATTGGTTCGATGACCGTAAGACCCCTTCCCCGTTGTTGGACATCCTCCATATGATAGTATAATTGGCATTGTGCTGATGGAAATCCTCATACTACAGGCACATGGCACCCTCTTGGTCGCGTTACTGGTGGTACATTGTATCCTGGCCTGATGGTGACCAGCGGCGTGATCTACCACATCCTTCGTCTCCTTACCATCCCCGTCGACATTCGAAACATCTGTGTCATGCTCGCCCCTGGATTCTCTGGACTAACAGCCCTGGCGATGTATCTCCTGACCTCCGAAATGTCCGACTCCCCCTCTGCAGGTCTCCTGGCTGCTGCTTTCATGGGAATTACACCTGGTTACATCTCGCGGTCTGTGGCAGGCAGCTACGATAACGAAGCCATTGCCATTTTCCTATTGGTGTTCACATTCTACCTCTGGATCAAGGCCGTGAAGAACGGTTCTATCATGTGGGGAGCCTTGACTGCATTGTTCTATGGATACATGGTTTCTGCTTGGGGTGGATACGTTTTCATTACCAACCTGATCCCTCTCCATGTCTTTGTTCTTCTGTGCATGGGCCGATACAGCACCCGTGTCTATATCAGCTACACCACCTGGTATGCCCTGGGAACATTGGGAAGCATGCAGATCCCCTTCGTCGGTTTCCTGCCTATTCGCAACAGTGACCACATGTCTGCACTTGGTAAGACTTTGGGTTCTGAGCTATGCCGTTGTCTCATTCTAACTATTTGATAGGTGTCTTTGGATTGATCCAATTGGTGGCATTTGCCGAGTTCATTCGGGCCTACCTGCCCGGCAAGCAGTTCCAGAAGCTCCTCACCTCTATGGTCTTGCTTACGTTCGGTCTTGGATTTGGTGGTCTTATCCTGCTGTCAATCTCTGGGGTCATTGCTCCCTGGAGTGGTCGTTTCTACTCTCTGTGGGATACTGGATATGCCAAGATTCATATCCCCATCATTGCCTCCGTCTCCGAGCACCAGCCCACCGCCTGGCCTGCCTTCTTCTTTGACCTGAACTTCCTTATCTGGCTGTTCCCCGCTGGCGTGTTCATGTGCTTCCAGAAGCTCAGGGATGAGCATGTCTTTGTTGTTATCTACTCGGTCCTCGCTAGTTACTTTGCCGGCGTTATGGTCCGTCTGATGCTGACCTTGACCCCCATTGTGTGTGTTGCGGCTGCTCTGGCATTGTCGTGCATCCTCGATAACTTCCTGATTGCGTCGACCCCAAGCACTGAACCCAAGGCTAAGACAACTACTGAAGATAAGGCACTCCGGCCAACCCGGAACCCTGTTGTCGGTATCTACTCCTGGTTCTCCAAGTCTGTCGTGGTAGGCTCTGTCACTCTTTACCTACTTCTGTTTGTTGCACACTGCACCTGGGTTACCTCCAACGCATACTCCTCCCCCTCTGTGGTTCTGGCCAGCAGGCTTCCTGATGGAAGCCAGTTCATCATCGATGACTACCGTGAGGCATACTATTGGCTCCGCCAGAATACCCCGGACAATGCCAAGATCATGTCCTGGTGGGATTATGGATACCAAATTGGTGGTATGGCTGACCGTCCCACTCTGGTCGACAATAACACCTGGAACAACACCCACATTGCCACTGTTGGTAAGGCAATGAGTTCGCGCGAGGAAGTCAGCTACCCCATTCTGCGACAGCATGATGTCGACTACGTCCTGGTCGTGTTTGGTGGACTCCTTGGCTACTCAGGTGACGACTTGAACAAGTTCCTCTGGATGGTTCGTATTGCCGAGGGTATCTGGCCAGACGAGGTGAAGGAGCGTGACTTCTTCACCGCTCGCGGCGAGTACCGTGTCGACGAGGAGGCCACTCCCGCCATGAAGAACAGCTTGATGTAAGAATACCACGTGTTGATTATCCATGCCACTGCTAACCCTATCAATAGGTACAAGATGTCTTATCACAACTACCAGTCGCTCTTCCCGCCTGGTCAGGCCATGGACCGTGTCCGTGGCACAAAACTTCCCAAGGAAAGCCCCCAGCTCAACACACTGGAAGAGGCTTTCACCAGCGAGAACTGGATCGTTCGTCTCTACAAGGTCAAGGACTTGGATAACCTCGGCCGTGATCATAGCAACGCTGTTGCCTTTGATAAGGGCCTCAAGCGCAAGCGTGCCACGAAGCACAAGGGTCCTCGTGTTCTGCGAACCGAGTAGAGATTTGTTTTCTGTATTCATGCTGCATTTTCTTGTCTTGTTGGCTGTTATGATTCGCTCTGGGGTAGCAGACCATTGCCATTTGTACTGTGCGTTAAAACCATACCGAATATACTCTAGGTCTAGTGACCTAGAATTATATCAATGTCTTTCTTCTCGGAAGGCTATTGTATCACTCCGCCCTTCAACTTTGAATATGTAATATTAGCGATTTGACGATAGTGTAGCGAGTAAATGCCGGGATATCTTTCTGAAGTTGGTAGGGCACATACAAAGCACAGCGGGACGGTGCGAAGAATATAGACATCCGTAGCCTAAATTCATTGTACAGCCTATATATATTCCAAGCCAATTCCTTCTGTGCATGGCAGCACAAACGCTGATATTATCGCTAATCCTAAAGATCTGAAAAAAAGGTCTCCCTGAAGACTCCGAAACCCCAATTGCAACGTCAACCCATCACTAAGTACCGGTCCGGTGGATGTTGACTGTGCTTCATTTCTTGTCCGCGGGGGCATCGGGGACCTTGACGTCGGCGAATTCTTCTTGGCCGACAGCCTTGAGGGTGTAGGTATCTGGAAATTGAAGCAAGATCAGTATGATGTTCTGTCGCTTGTGAATATCGAGCCCGCATGGAAACTTCTCAGCGGGCAAGTTCTGGTGGCATGATGCGGTTCGGAGATAGGAAGAGGGGTGAAGCGGAACAGCGGTATGCGTCACATGGTTTACTTACAGACTGCAATTGTAAAAGCGAACAGTCCGAAGCCTGTGAGGGTGTTCTTGAACAGATATGGGCGGCGGGCGCGAAGGAGGGCGGCACCGGCGCGGTAGTCCTTGCCGTAGTAGGTGGAGTTGAAGCTGTCACAGAGGCATGATGTTAGTAAATGAGACCTTCTCAAGTCCATATAAACTATGCATACATTCCGGTAGCCATGGCGAGAGTGTTTGTTGACAGAAACGTGAGAGAAAAGGAAAGTTGAGGCCATACCAGGCAGAGCCGGAGGAAAGGTCTTGGCGTCGGAGGCCAAACAACGTGATGCGGGTTTAGATGTTTTTGTATTTGAGATTAGATCGGGGATTTTTATTGTAACTGAGACTCTGGTGGAATCAAAATTCGAACCATTGAAGCACAGGGAGGCTTTTAGCCTAGTGAATTGAATGGTTGTATGTAGAGACATACAGCTCGCATATATCGGAGTCTTTGTCGGCCGCCCTTTCAGGCTTCGCAGCTTTTTGTCGCATCCTCGACGGCTGTCACTTCACTTCTCAATCGCCCTTCCTTCTTCACCCACCCATCGCAAACCACCTCTCCCCTCCAACCTTGGTGTTACTTTCCCTCTATTTCCTTGTTTTACGATCGAACCCTAAGCTTATGCGCGTTGCTTTTGCGACTGTATCCGTGTCCCCCGTACACCAACGTCCTCCCTTCCCCCAACACCTAGTCCCTCAACTCGAATCCGATACGAACGGCGCGTACCGGATACATTCCCATTAAAGCTACCATGGCTCAGCCGATGGACAATGTCGTCGACCAGGTCGCCCAGCTCAACGCTGCCCGCAGTCTCGTCCTCGGTGATGCTGCCTTCTACCCGCAGATTGTTAATGGCATCCTTCCTATCGTTGGAGCTAGTACACGGCTGGAATTGCGAAGATGGGGTGCAAACTTCCTGGCTGAAACCTTTGCTAGCCCAATGTTAGCTGTTGCGCAGAAAGAGCAGCTGGCACCGAATATCCTGCAGACAATCCGTGAGATTCTAGAGTTGCCAGAGACAGACGCAGCAGTCCTACAGAGCTTAGTGCAGACTTCAGCTAGCTTGTATCCCCTCGTCTTCAGACATGTGTAGGTCATTATCGAGCTTCCGTGGCTGCAATGCAGGATTGCGCTCCAAACGCAAACTTGGTGCAAGGCTAACAATACCGACAGAGTGAATCACCCACAGGATGGGAAGTCATGGGAGACGATGAGTGCAATTAAGCAGGATATACTTAGGCGAATGGACTCATTCCCATGCCCAGTTAAGCTTTGCTGTGCCAAGTTCATCCAGCGCGTGGTCCAGGTTCAGACGCCTGGATTGATCTCGGATCCTAGGGTATGTTTTGCGGGTTATAGATGCTTGGATATATTGGTACTAATACTAATTTCAACCAGCGACCCGAGCAGAATGAGACGTCTTTGGCAGTTGTTCCCCGAAACCATGCGGTTCTGTCAATACCAAACCTGGAAGCGGAATCCTCAGGTCTCCTCGATCGACTCCTCGGCGTTTTCCAAGAAGAGACTAGGTACGAGGATGAATCAACATATTTTACCAGTTTGGGTTGATGCTAACACAAGCCAGTGATGCTCTTCTTGTGAACGCGACCTTAAACTGCCTCGCCCCTCTCATCCGCTCGCGCC